AGCTTTTTGGAGCAACATCTTCTTGGTGCACGAAATTCGTCCCAAGATCATCCGGATGCCAAGTCCTGGGGGAGACAAGATTACTCTGCAGCGGTATTTGCCACCACAGTTATGGTCAGCTTTTTTTTTCCGTTAAGTACAACACAACTTCTACAACACAACGTGTGTTAAGTACAACGGGCTTTTTCCGTTAAGCCAAGTATAGATCATGCGGGAACCAAGTAGATAGGTACCAAGTAGATGCGGATGAATAAAAGCAAGAGTCGCTCCTGTGCTACAGTCAAGATGAAGGAGTTTCTTCAGAAGTTTTGTCTAGTTTCGTTATGATCTCCATCTGGTGTTAAAAGTCTAACACAGATCTTAGTAGTCAAGGAGCTAAGGTCCTTATCCGTCAGCCACATGGGAACTTCTCTCAGATGACATTCGCTGAAGCTGCTGCTATCTCCGGACAACCGGTTTTTTTTAAGGCTTACTCATATTCGCCTCAATCAAAAGATGACTTACTTTGATCTGGGTTACAACTTTTTTATATTATAACGACTACCAAGATCATGCCCTTCGGGATGTTGAGTATTGCCATCTTCAGGTCTAATTTGTACGGAGATGGGGGCCCGTCGTTGGGCTCGACTGGGTCTCGTCTGTCTCCTCTTGGTCACGCTCCACCGTGTCCTCCACCTTCTGCGGAGGTGGGCGTGCAAGATGTTGACGTACAGGATGTTGTTGATGTTCCTGACGAGCAAGAGAAACCCAAAGGAGCGCAACCAGCCGCACAACTAGAGGAGTCCCAAAAATCTCCAGTCGTACAACTGGAAGAGGCAGGAGTCGTACTACAACAAGGAGAGAAGCAGTCGTCTTTCATCTCTGCCAGAGTGTACACGGAAGATAAGTCCCCTTCGCGCGGTTTATTTCCTTCTTCTCCAAAATATACAACAACATCACCAGCACACAACGGTCCAGAAAGATGCTTGCCCTTTTCCTCGTTGAGTCCACGACACGGTCTCTTGGATTCCTCTTCTTCAGCGAGTGGAGATTTCCAGCATCCCGCTATTTTAAGGCTTGTTCTTCTGCAGGTAGTTACAGAGGTTGTTTCATGGATCGCCTCGTTCATAGTCAAATGTTGTCAGCTTCTAACTGTTAGAGGTTTGATGGATCGCCTCGTTCATAGTCAAATGTTGTCAGCTTCTAACTGTTAGAGGTTTGATGGATCGCCTCGTTCATAGTCAAATGTTGTGATCCTTCAACTTTCCTTTTCTTTGTAGTGATAATAGGTGTAGAAGATGAAGATGATGATGAAGTACAAAAGTGCGAGTCGTGCTTCTTCATGCCTTCTATATAATATGGATTAGCGTGCTTTGTATGCTTCTGGTATAATTTGGTAACTTGAAGTGGATCACGAGGATTCTCTTCTTGTTTTCCTCATGATCAAAATCAGATTACCAAATGCCAGAACCATTCAGCAGCGTTTTCATCGTCGTCAAATAAAAAGAGTGGTACAAGTTATTGTTCTACAAGAACTAGAGTGCGCAGGAGCTTCTAATCGTAGCGGGAGCTGCCGTGAATGCGGGACCCAGTCGGCAGATGCAAGCATTGATGGAAGCTCAGGATCGAGCCCAGCGAAAATTCGTAGAGGAGTTTTCTTGTGCGTGGTATAAGGAGGCGAATGTACTCCACCCGCCGCCAGTTTGCGACTTGGATAGCACTGAGGCCACTCTTCTAGCAGCGCCAGGATACAAAAAAAGACGTTGCGAGACCCCTCAAATCTGAAATCTGAGCGAGCAGCTAGCATTAAGGATAGCGCCAACCTTCCACTTTTTACGCCATCAACTTCTTCTGCTTGTCCATCCTAAAGCGGGGGCAAAGAATAAAAGAGACACGCATTCATTGTCAACTGAGCAGAAAGAGATACATCCTTGATGTTCTAAAAGATGGGGCGTTAGTGCCTCTAATGTCAACATAAAAGATAGGAAGTCGAAGTTGGAAGAAAAGAACGAAGCAGACTTTGGAAGAGGACGAGAGGTAGAAGACTGATCGACCTGGTAGTTCTCCTGGGGAAAGATATGCCATCCTTTTCCTTAGACTTATATAAAAAACACAAGGAGAAGTGCAGTAAAAAGGTGAAAAAATGAGCTATAAGAAGTGCCTGCAACTAATTAAGTCGGACCTTAACCTCGTGCTAGGTAAATGAATAATGAAGAAGAGGCGGAGAAGTTAGCTCTAGTTCAAATGCGATCATTTTTTAGATACAGTGAGTTGCAGAGCACAAGCACAACACTTCTTCGCAATCGTTTCAGTATTTGGCACTATAGGTATCTACTTACTTTACTACTTGATACTGTACTATTGCAAAGAGGGGCTGCAAAACTCGTGCCTCACTTGTATAAAAGTGTCGCAGGTGTGTTTTCTTACCGAGGTAAGGAGCGAGTTCTTAAGGATTTTTCAGTCGTGTACTCTAGTGTTAAAGTTGATTGATGTTGATGCTGTGGATATTCACCTGGCGCGTCTTCGGGTATTAGAAGTTATCATCTTCGTCAGCAGCTACAACTTCAGACGAGTTAAGTACAAATAAGATTAGTGCCTTCAGCATCAACGCGCATAATACTAAATAGCTTCGACGTCGGATCGTTTTTGATTTTACGGAATTCCCTCTTGTAAAAAAAGAAAAACTTGTAGAACTACTAAAAGCGTTTGTGTTGTAACACGTGTAGCATTTGGCTATTTATCATTTGATGGATGTACGTGCACGCAGTTCGTGAATAATTGCATCAGAGACTGAGGACGCGCGGCCATTTTATATGCGCCGCTTCCATGTGATTTGTGAGCTGAGTTATAATTATGGCTTTATTCTCTCGTATAACTGACCACTGTTGAAGAATAGAGAAGAAGAACGAAAAACAGGAAGCGTCATCATGTTGAATACGATGGATAAGCGTTTGAAGAAGTAGTCCTCACCTAACTAGTCTTAAGCCTTTCTGTGTATGTATACTCGACATCGAATACGAGCAAGAAGCTGCAAGATTGACGTAGGTACTTAGAAATCTCATGCACTTAGGTAGCCCCTCTACCTCACGAATAGGCACATCAATCATCTAGGAGTAAGTAGTTCTTGCTAGTTGTTGCGTGTCTTCTACAACAGTTTTCCTGTCGTTCTACTGCTTTCACTTAAAACTTCTCAAGATTGCTTTTTACTCTTCTCAAAAGCACCAGGGAAGTAGATAGAGCATCCTCTTGATTGGAGATCGATTGGCCGAATAGGTACTACTAGATGAACAAGAACGCGGATGAATATAAAAGCTACCAAATTAGATCTGAGAACTTGCGTGACAGAATTTAGAAGAAAGAGCTTACTCGTATTCTGCGATTGACAGCTGTTGTTCCTAAGAAAACTCCCTGTGACTCCTCAAGAAGAGTCCGGCTCTGTTTTCAGAGGATCTTAAAGTCAGTCAATCTAGGAGCGAAAACTTAATAGAACAAACTTAGAACTATATATACTACGGGTGCGGACTAATAGAATCTATAGAAGTTGTAGACGGACGCTTCTAAAGAACTAAAAACTTAGATGATTCCCGCTCTTTAGCAACAGGAGAGTGAGTCCCGAACGATTTCGAAAAGCAATCATCTTCCTAGAACTAGCTAGGTGTTGTAGCTATATAATCCCATAGTGTCCGACGCTGTTGTCCTTGTGGTAAAGGTTCGACACTTGTGGCAAAATAGAACTGCAACCTTAGTAGTAGGTATAGATCGCATGAAAGAATGTGTAAGAAGGTACTTGAATAATAACAATAGTTTTCCAACGCGAGAAGCCGTCAGGAAAATCTTGGGCACCTTGCCAAATAGATTCAAACCATCCATAATTATACTCAAATCATCCATATAGATTCAAGTCATATTATTGAAGAAAAAAGAAGAAGAACGAAAAACAAGAAGCGTGCCGTCATCAGGTTGAACACAATAAGAGTAAGGACTTGAAGAAGTAGCCCTCAATGGTCTGGTCTTAAAACTTTCTGTTTATGTATATACACTACTACGGACGTAGAGGTGCGGCAGTCGCAGCTGCGGGGAGGTCGGTGCCGGACAACACTGGGATCACCCTTTCGGCGTTCTCGGAATACAAACAAAAAAAACGGTGCCCCGTGGAGGCACCTGGTTGATTGATTGACTGATTGATTGATTGATCCTCTGTCAACGTCTGTAGTTTAGGACCTGAAAAATAGTCGTCGTAGATAGTTCTAGTCAGTCAATCATTATAGATTCTTCAATGCCCCACGAACATTACTACTACTACGGCTACTGTTTTGCATTTTCCTTGTCTCTCATTGTCCTCGCAAATGCAAAAACAGAATTAGTCAAACCTAATTAAAAATCTTTGCTACCTCTTGAATGGGTACACTACTACTACTACTACTTAGTTAGTGAACATCGGTAAGAAAAAAAGCGAACAACTGGGAAAATTAACTTCGCCTTCACTTGTTCGTGGGTAGAAGTTTTCAGAGTTAGTCAGTCCGATGTTCAACAAAGTTCATCTTTAACTTTATTTACACCTATACATAGCTATTCGCATTTCTTGCATAATTAGTTATAGGTGTACACTCTTCTGAGTCTCTTCACTTTTGCTGCAGTAGTCAAATTCTAATTTATCAAGTTAACATTACTTAAGTTGTCCTGGAGTTATCTAATTAGTTTTCAAAGGAAGTGACTGTGACTGACTGCTAGAAAGGATCGCGTGGCGATTAAAGCAATGCCTCTAGTTAGGCACATTCATTCCCTCATTCGTTATGGCCCTGGTCGTTATTCTGCTTCAGAGCTGTCGCTATTCAGAAAAGGGGGTGAACTACTTACTTCTCAAGTTACAGTGTTCGTGTTGAATTTATGATCATTACTACTTTTACCTCTTTGTTGTATCTGAAGAGTGTTCTTGGACGGAGTAAAGAACTCAATGTGGAACTACTAGCCCCTTGGTGCTGTGGTTCCCCAGGGGAAGGATACGATGGGAGCCAGGGACTACTTCCTTAGTATCAACTTTCTCAAAGTTCAAGTCAAACGTTCAGAAGAAGCGGGTCACGACTCGATCTCGCATCTTGTTGACGTTTCCGGATTTTCCTGATCGGTCGTCCTTGTCAGCAGCTAGCGCCTTGCTTAAAAGTAGTCGAAAACTCAAAGTAACCGAGTTACTGACTGAAATAGGGGAGGTAGCTTAACATCAAGGCTACTCTTCCTTCTTATCAGTATCTCACTTATTCTGATCAGTCACTTGCTTATTTCAGTTTTTCGAATAGTCGCCCACTACATCGACGAGAGGGCACGACTGCGGTGACACGGCTACATATAACCCTAACGGAAAAAAGCGCGAGAGCCTAGACGAGGGCGGCCGGCGTCGCCCAATGCAATGAAGTGAATAAAGTAGCTAAAAGCCGAAGCACTAAGTGCTACTTCATCACATTTTCCTGAGATTGATGCTCGAAATTGAAGAGAATTCCAATTTTTAGAGATATAGTACTTGCTGATAAAATGTTCTTAATCTTAGTGATACATATCGAAACGTTCCGTTTACGTTTAGAGCTGTTCTTGATGGATGAGACGCAGGGTGGACAGAAGGCGTGGACTTCTTGGTAGTTGATAAAAATTTTAATTTTCCTATAGCCTCGACCTCGTGAAGAAGCGCTAAGGCTAACTTAGTAGATCATGAAGCCTTCTGAATTGTTGATGAGACCTTAAGAAATTCTAGTGTGATTTTAGCATGATTGTGCTATCTACTTATAAAAAAACAATGTCTAAAATGCAAAGAGCAGACATGAACTTAGATCCCACGCTTGCCCTAGCAACTGTGGTGTGCGCCAGTCACGGCTGCTGCACAATTTCCATCAGAGTATACAAAGGAATGAGAGACTTTTTCGAACTCGATCCTGAAAGACCCGAGACGAAAAATTTTTACGAGAAAATGGAAAATGTCGGCTCTTGATATCCCCAGTCTCGTGTCATATTAGTACTTATATGGTTAGCGATGGTTTCTGAAATCCTTAAGGGACTCCTTTAAGTGCCTGCCTTAAGGGCAGCGCTTTCCTTGAAGAATTTCTACTGCGAAGAGCTGTTATAACTTTCCTGAAGAGCAAGAGGAAAAACCTTCCCTAAGGAAGGTCCTTAAGGAAAAGCTGCCATAGCCTCTGGCTAATATTAGACCCCTCCGTAAGGGATTTCCAAGGACTTAAAAGAAAGCCTGACAGTCCAGAGATTTTCTGGAGCTTTTTGCCAGTGGTCTACTTTGTCCTCCAAATTGCCAGCCCCCACCGCGATCCCCCCAAACACACTACGCGCCCACCCCTAGCGAATCGCCCCAACGAACCTCCAGCCGCTACCCCTATCCCCTGGCGCCTCTTTTTTTCAAAAACTTCAGGGAGGTCGTTCAAGTACAGAAATGAGAAAGCTGAACGACCTCCCTGAAGTTTTTGGAAAAAAGTTAGCTTTTTTCTTTTCTGTGACTACCTTCCGCGCACACCAATCGACCACAGGAGGAGCGCGCAGGCGTGTCCAGGCTTGGCCTCCTCATGGACATGATGACGCTTAAGAGGCTCCGCCTTTCAGATATGGAGGGGCCTGCCCAGGCCTATTCTCCCCACAGGCATCGGCGTCCCTGGGGTCTTTCTCCTTGGAATTCTCATGGGCATGATCACACTCAAAAGGCCCACGCGTGAAGGGTGGACCCTGGTGGGCGTCGTAGTCTCATTTTCATAAGAAGGCCAAAGCTTTACGTCTCCGCGTTTGAAGGTTGAAGGCGTTGGGGATGTCGATGCCTGGGAGGATGATAGCGCTGGGCCCTTGCATGTCTGAAGGGTGGACTCTGGTGAGCGTCATCATGTCCATGAGAGGGCCAAAAAGTTGAAGGCGCTGAGGATGTCGATGTCTGTGAGAATGATAGCCGTGAGCCCTTGCACATCTCAAGGGTGGACCCTGGTGAGCATCATCACGCCCATGAGGCGGCCAGGCTTATGCATCTCCGCAAAGGAAGGCGGAAAGCGTTGAAGATGTCGATGTCTGTGAGAATGATAGCCGTGGGCGCTTGCGTGTCTGAAGGGTGGACCCTGGTGGGCGTCGTCATGTCCATGAGGGGGCCAGGCTAATGCGTCTCCGTGTTTGAAATGAATTGAACGCTGCCGCCGGACTTCTGCGCATAGATATGCCCAAGCGTGGTCTTCTCATGGGCCTCAGGATGCTCGCCAGTGTCAACCTTTTGCCCGGACTGCTCTGCCTTAGAATTCTCCTGGACATGATCACACTCAAACGGGCCCAACTAGTGTGCCTGCATTTGTCCAAGCGTGGCTTTCTCATGGACTTCATGATGCTCAACGGGCCTTCCATAGCGCCCATTGGCTCCCTGGTAAGCAAGTTGGCCAAGGCAGTGGCCATGGCAGTAGCCTCCTTACTAGCTGCCTCACCACAGTGGGGGCCAGCTTCCCGGCCTTTCTAGCCTTGGCCGCGAGCAGACTTGGCGACTTTCTTCGTTTGTCTTTCTGTATCTAATCTTAGCGATCAGTCTGTCTAGTAAGTTGTTAACCGATGCCCAGCGCAGCGAGCCCTTGAGTTGATGGGCCCGCTTTCTGGGCATGTATGAATAACGTGAGCGGAGAAAATGTGAGAAGTAATCGGACCCACACCCCTGCGATACCTCTGCCCCACCAAACTCCCCCTAAACCTAAAGTTACGGCTGGTTAGGGACAACAAGATGACTACTGAACAAGCCAAACGCGAAAAATGATACCCATCTGATGCGACAAACAGGAGGATCGACGCGCTACCTTCGATCTAGTTTCAACACAAGTCACATGGCAAGACTGTTTTCTCTGCGCGAAGAGTGACCCTGTGACCAGACTCGTGCTGTGTTAGATATGGCGACCCCCCTGCGTGGTACGGATGCAAGTCGCTGCATCCACTGCGGTCGTGTTCAAGAGTGCGACTCTGATGTTTATCATCCTGGGGCTTGTAAAGATAATAGGCCATGATACTCATATCCTCCATCTTAACATGCTGTCTATGAGGCCTGGCGCAGGTTCCTTTCTACAGAGTGCTTGCATGGGTGGAAGTCTCCACGTACAAGCAATAGCATGAACATGAACGGCCTAAGTCGATTTGGTCTCGATCTTGAAACTATTCGATAGCCTCCTTGTTCGTATTGGTGGTTGTGTTGTTAGTCGTGTCAGAAGGAGAGTCACGTGATAGAACAGAACTACAAGGAAACGACCATTGGTGGGCGTCTTTGAATCCAGAAAAAATGTGAGGTTTTTTACTTATAGCGCTATAATGATAATTGGGAGAATAGTAACAATAATAATAATAATAATGATAATAATGATAAAAATAACAATGATAATAATGATGATAATAATAATAATAATAATAATAATAAGACAGGGGCTTACTGCTTATTGTCGGTGGAGCAGAGGCAGTCTTAGGCCCATCGGGTAGAGTAAAGCATCAGATGGGGGGAGTAGGACGGGACAAAATCGTACCTGCTGACTGATCCTGTGCGCGTTCGTCATTCATGGCCTCATGGCCCTGAGTGTCATCCCCCTGGGGCGATGGTCTCACGGATGAAGACGGTCCCGCCGTAGATCAGCTCCTGACGGCATCGCCCAAACGTCGCGGAAGGGCCATTCCTGAGGTGTATTGCCGCGAAGCGTAAAGACCCTAGTATAGTGTAGCTTCACCAGTGTGATCATGATGTATCCGAAGCAGCCTTAGCGATTATTCGCGGGCGGCCTCACTTTAAAGAAGTTCGATCTCAGTAGTGGCGCCGCCCTCTGTGCTGAGTGTCCACAGCTTGCTGCTTCAGGTCCTAGCTAGCATATGGCCACGTCAAAGCTCTAGCCCTTTCCATGTTCGGTCCTGCATGGTCTAGCCCTTTTCTCTCGGGGTTTATCAGATAAGGCGCGCCATTGTTCTACTTATCGGCCGTCGACTAATATGCCCGTGGGGCTTTGGCTCTAGCTTTTCTGCGGCGATGGCCGTTGTGCTTCGTCGTCTAGTAGTTTTAGGTGCCTGGCCGTTGTGCTTCAGGATTCTCGCAGGGTAGTTAGCTCTTCGTATTGCGATGAATGTAGACCCAGGTCCCAAAAAAAAGGCCCGAACCGCGGACATGAATGAATGAAGAACAAAACTCATAGCCAAAAAAATAGTAGTAGGTAATCTTCTTTAATAGTGGCCAATCAATCTTGTACGGCTTCAACTCTAGCAGCACGACAAAGATCTTGATGAAAATGTTGCTCCCGAGTTGTGTGTGATCGTATTTCTCATAACCACTCGCTGATTTAAATTTTACTTTTTAGTGGTGGATAGATTGTTCTGTGGCGCACATTTACTTCTTCTACAACATGATCATGAGTTCTCGTTTGCTGTTCGTGGGTTGGTGGGTGGAGAAGCTACAAAGTTGCCAGTAGATGAGTACACTGATTGAACGTTGCTGCAGGTGTCCAATCTATGTGATCTTATTTCATGCTCATATCTATTTTTGCCATTAGTATTATATTCTTGTGAAGAAGGCAAAAAGGGTAGAGGTCGTGCGATCTCATGGGTCGCGGCGTAGACCGAAGTAGTGCGTAGTGGTCTTTTTTACTCCTGGAGTGGGCACATTCACTCACGAACAAGAGCAGGAACATCAAATAGATTAAGAGGACTCACTTGTACCCGTATAATACTAGTAATATCAAATTGAAATAAAAACTACATCATCTGTAACGCACAAGCAGGCAAAAGGAAAATGATCTACTTACGAACTATCTGAGTGAGTGAGTGAATCTATAACGTGATAAGACATGATCTACGGATTTGATGTTGATCATCCTGGGATCTAAAAAGATACCGCCAGGCTATTATACTCATAGTTTCCCTCTATCGCGTGCTTTTTATGAGGCCTTCCGCAGGTTCCTCTCTACAGAGTGCTTGCGTGCGTGGAAGCCGTACGTCCAAGCAATAACCTGAACATAAGGCATGATCTTCAGTAGCTTTGTTGTTGAGGGTGAGAAAAAAGAGTGTTGCTTATCTCTTGTTCAACGCCGCCACAACGAGAAGGTACTAAAGCCAAGGCTCTTATCACTGACATAGTAGCTGTATCATGATATCATTTCCTAAGGAATGGCTGAGATGGATGGAGACAAATAATGATACTAATGATAATGATTAATCGTGAGCGCCGCGTTTCCGAGCGAGGCTACGGCCCCCTTTCGCCACGCCGACGCACATAGCGTCCTGACAGTAATAGTACTAACAAGCATAATATATGAGTAATATTTTAATGGGCCGAAGCCTTCCAGATATTATGACCCTGGCCGGCTTGTCCCTGTTGTTGTGGTGGTGGTGTTGCCGAGTCACATCCACAGCCTAAACAGAACGCAGCTGCGTGCCGTTCGTATCCTTATGGTGGTACGCTAGTGAATGACCATCCACAGGCATCACCGTGCGGCATCATCTTAGGAGGATTCCCATTAGCATAAGGACCCCGGTCGCTATAATCATCGTCAGAAGATTCAGAGCCTTGAGCCTGATCCTGATGATGGTGAAGGTGATAATAGTGCGCAGATGATAATAGTGCGCAGATGAATACTATTAGTCACGGCGCCGCGCGGTCTCCATAGTGCATCCTCATAAACCTAAACCGGAAACAAGGAAGAGACTCAGATTGATGTCGATCGATGAAACAACTCACAAGAAGACTCAGATGAAGCCTCAGAAGTTGCTAGATACTCAGAAGTTAGATGCTTAACGTTGAAAGACAGGCATTAACCAACCATGAGTAGGCTTTTCGTAGTCCTTCTCGTCGTCTCTAAAAATTGATTTCGCATCTCGTTCTCGCAACTTAAAAGTAACTTTCTACAACTATGTAGCTAACTGATTCCGCATCTTGTTTTCGCAACTTCGTTCTTTTTTCTTTCTGTAGGTTGTTTGCGTTTTACCTGCTGTTCGTTTTAATTATATGTCACGGCTTGCTTGAGTAGTTGTTAGCTTTAGCATCCTAGAGTTCACTTGAGTTTTCTCCTCCTATCTCATTCTTGAGCTGTCTCTGTGTGTCTGTGAAATGTTTGCTTTCTCTGCGCCCACCACTGCTGGTGCGTCGAACTCTTCGAAAAACTTGTAATTGTAATTGTAATATTCAGATTGAATTGTTGCACACGACCACCCAAAATGAATACTAGTGTGGCCACCAAAAATACTGACCTGATGCACTAAAAGAGAAGAACATTTTCTACCAAAGAGAAGCACGTGGTGCAGGAGGAGCTTCTCCTGTGAAAGGGGTTCGTTAATAGTTCAACTTACTCTTCGAGGATCACGTGTTCGCACAACTCTTACCATCGCTCCTATTAATTTGACTCGCACTAAGATCAGGATTTTGGATTTTCTATGTTGATCGGATGTTGGATCTTACACTCCCACCGAATCCGATTGCATATCCCAAGGAGAAAAGCTATTGAATGCGAATATGAGTCATGCTGTGGAGTATGCTGAATGCGATCTAAAAAGATCTGGATGCAACATCCATGCATCGACTACTTCCTACGGAAACTGCGTTGCTGTGAAAAATCAGGATGAATAGTAATCTAACAACATCACTCTTCACTCGTCTGCATAGTAGATGCTTGTATCAGGGACGATCTGAATGGGTGCTGATCTGAATGGACGATCCTCACCAGCAGCATGAAGATGCTCTTACTTTAGACCGGATACGATCATCCAAGTCAAAAAAAAAGAATGCACCAATTCTCCTAGGTGACCTAGAAGCTTCATCTCCAACCGGTAGCAGCGTCCCCACCACCACCCTTTTTAGTATCAAGAAGAAGTAGTAGTGAAGTAGTCTCCTATACCCCTGGAGTGGGTACATTCATTCACTCCCTCCTCCTTGCTGAAGTTACCCCCAGATTCTTGGGTACGCCACTACTGCTACTTCTACTACCCCCACAAGTAGAAAGAAACAAGATGGCTCGTAACTTGGAAAAGCAGAAGCACTCGCTCAACAAGTACTGGGATCATCGAGCTTTGATTGAGAAAGCAGGCTTCGATCTACCAGCCAAGCGTCCTAAAATTGCTTCAGTTAAGGTTTTCCACCAAATTACATTCTTTCCGCCCAAATCCAAAAAGTTGCTAATATATTCGAAAAGAAGCCAGTATTTTTTTTGAACTTTGAATGCTCTAATTCAGAGGTGAACGACGTGAGAGACGCGAAGAAATGGTGGGCCAATATGCGATGGGAGATAGGACAGAAAATCGTGCGAATCCAAAACGCTACACTCCCAGAAGCCGAAATCCGAGACTTGAACGATGATATAAACAAACTGTTGAAAGTTATGGCAGGTGTTGGAAGACATAGACAAGAGCATGCTAGATTCACGACTGGTCGTGAACTTGATAATTGATAAGATAAGTGTAGTTTCTGAGAAGCGAACAGGCCAACGCCTAAACCACTAAGCCCACTGCGTTTCTAAGTGAGTCAGTCGCTTTTGGTTTTGACTGGGAAGATAGTAGCTCCATGTTTGTGTTATTTCTCTCTTTTTCTTTCCTCTTCTAACTCCCAACGCGAGTATTGGATAGCGAGGATAAAAGAGCTGGGCGGCGAAGATTTGAGTACGTCGTATAAACCAAGCGAGTTGGATGGGCAGGAACTCTACGCGCACAGTGGCTACAAGTACTTCGGAGCTGCCAAGGACTTGCCTAACGTTCGAGAGCTGTTTGAGCAACAACACGCGGACGACCAGAAAAGGAGAACGAGGAAGGAGTTGTATACGCATATTTTGCCGGATTATTATGGGTGGCGGGACGAGAACGATGTCGAACTCCTTCTGGAGGAACAGCAGGCGGAACAAACACTAGCGGAAGATAGGAAAAAGGTACTAGTTGTAAGTTGTCACTTCGACGTAGTTGTGCTGTCAACTTTCTTCTAGTTACAACTAGTAGATACTTTTCACATGATGTCGTCCGTCGTTCCTCCTGCTTATAGTACTAGCATTTATTTTGCAATATTACGAGAACAGCTTATTTCACAGCACATTTATTCCGGACTTTTTTCTGTATTCCACCAGGATCTTCATCGACTACAACTACATGAACAAACGGAACGTGTGACCTTCATCTGATAATGAAATTGACCACAGATGATGCCCGAGCATTTAAGGAAGCGGCAAGGGGAACGAGCATTAAAGGAAGCTGCCGATGGGCAGCAGAAGCAAATCAGTTACGTTTACACGCCATCAGATGCAGAAATCCAGCAAATCTTATTGGAGAAGAAGCGCGCGATTGCACTGGCGAAGGTGTCGAAGTATATCACAAAGGAGGATTTGGAGAGAGACGAAGAGGCGAAAGTGATGGCACTGGGAGGTCCGGATCATGCTTCGAAGAAGTGAAAATGGGAGTTTGGTAACCAGGAAAGATAGAACATCCTACTTCCACTGTAGAAGTATTCTTACTCATTCTTGAACATCCTACACTGTAGAAGTATTCTTACTCATTCTTGAACATCCTTCTACACTGTAGTATTCTTAATATTCTCTATGATGAATATGAAAGCCCTTCTTCACTCAACTTCCTTGAAAACATAAGATTGAAGATCATGTTGTGAAAATCGAAGTCCTTTTTTGATCTCGTTTGATTAGTCGCCTTTGATCCTTGATCGGACGGAGTAATTTTTCACTTCTGTAGCTGCAGCGCGCACCCACCCGGTGGTTATTTTTTTACGTAGTTGTTCCGCAGCAACAAGCTTGGATTTTGTTCCTGTGTCGTGTGTTGCTGCTTCCAAGCTGAAACGTTTTCAAGGGGCCTTAAATAAAGAGGGAAGTAAGCAATAATTAAGTTAAAAGTCGCGCAAGCGTCAAAAGATACCTCCAGAACAGGTAAATGAATGAATGAGTGCAGGTCTTCTATTTCATCACATGCGAAGATGTCGCTATGTCATCTGCGTCTATCTGAAAACTAGTACTGCAGACAGTTAAAGAGAGTAGACTGACGAGAGTGCATGGAGAATAAGTAAAAAGAATGAAGGTAGTAGAGAATACGAATATAATTCTAGGTATGTAGCAGCTGCGCAGGGTGATGTCACTGATCATGTTTGCTGACTTGATCATCCTTAAATGTTTGTACTCGTCAACGAAACAACATAGATACAAAACCTCGTACTAAGAAACCAAAAAACATGGGCAACTGCGCTTGCGGACAGCCACTCGACGATGAGAATTGCTACCACGGTGATGAACGAAGGCGGAACGGTAACTCAGCACCGTATTCATCTACACAACGTGATCGAGATAGTAGGAATAGAGGAGCCAACACATCAGCATCACAACGCGGTCAACGACATGGAGGACAGAACAAGGACCATCCTGGATGCGCTTCGTCTTTCACAGCTGCCAGGCAGAATAACAGAGAGTGTGACCAACATGGCTCCATGTCTGCTTCAGGTTCAGACAAAGAAGTGGAGATCAATCTGGTGAAGAATCAGAAAATGATGTGGAATTTTGCAGCGGATGGGGACTCGCACAGAGCAGGGAAGAAGAGGAAAAATAGAGATGGGACACCATCGACGTCGCCGGGTTCTATTATGAGCCAGTTTATTCACTCTGTTATTTAGTTTCTGAAACGTTCTGGGTTGAAAGTAAGATAGCAGCTTGCATGTCATAGTTTCAACGGTCTGGCTGTTTTTTGAAAACTTTCGAAGTGAAAGTGTCACTCTGTAGAAGATTGTACTGTCTTTAGATTGCGTGCTCTTCTAACCTCAGAGGACAGGAACGATACGGCGACAATGACTACCTGAACAACAGCACTACAACGTTGAACGCCGATACGTCAGAGAGAAGTGATTTCTCTGAGTCGGATCTGTCGATCCTGTCCGGAGATGGCTGTTTTCCTATACCAGCGGAGATGATCAGACAAAGATTCCAGAAGGAGGATCCGACGAAGAAGAAAGATAAGAAGAAGAATTCATCTAAAAATTTTCCTGCTGGACGGAGTGACACGGTGTCGAGGAGAAAGAAGGAAGTAGATGGGGATAACGCTAAAAACTACAGAGGTAATCATGGTCCAGGTAGTCGCAATGCAGGCTCAAATGGGGCGACTAACAAAAGTAGACTAGAGGAGAAAACGAGCACCACCACCACACCTCCACCTAGAGCAGCAACAACTTCATCACGAATAAAAATAACGAGCACCACCACCACTCCTCCCCCGAGAGCAGCAGCAACTTCATCTACTTCTACTAGAAAACCACCTTCTGCTAGAAAAGACAACTACGTCTGCATGGATGAAACACAAACCGAACAAGACAGCTATTCTTATTCAACATCCGAGGATGACGAATCGACCTTAATTAAGGCTTCCCCTAATCCATCCCTACTTCTATAGGGATGATCCCTCAAACATATGCGCTCCCTTGTTGTATTACAACGAGGGAGATATTACTGACCACGCATATGCATGAGGGATTTCCACAGGGATGAATAGGGGAGAGCTCTAACCTAACTTCTGTAACATCAGAAGGGGGCTGGATGATGGACGCTAACGAGAAAATATTGATGGGGAGGAAATCGTTAGCCATAGACTATGCTAAGAGGACCGCAAGGTGATCGGGATGATAGGGATTTAGAGATAGGTAAAGAGAGTACTTGCTCATCTGGTAAAGAGAGGACAAGAACTTGCTGTTGCACATATTTATATAATACACTTTCTTAAATATATTTTCTATTGGTATGAATATAATCATTCAAAAATTTTCTACAAGTACAACCCATATTCGTCACTTGAAAAATGTAAAGGACTAGCGACTTCAACTTTTTCCTTGTTCCTTTATTTCTTGTTCTCTTTTTGTAAGGACGTTAGCCTTACGAGTTTCAGGTTTCTAATCACAGCATTGAATTAGACCAGATAGTTCTTCATCACGTTGTTGTATTATTCGCTTGAAAAAGAGAAATGACACAAGGTGAGACACAGAGCATGAAAAGAACGTAGGTAACCTCCAATTTATATATAGATATTCAAGCACGACCGCTCATATACTTATACTTGAAGGTTTTTTCATCTGATGTCGCCGGCCCACATGTTAAAGCACTCTCGGATGTTCACGGTAAGTCACTCTTCAATGCATTGGCTCGACGTGACGAAAACAGATGCGAGAAAAAGTAAAGACAAATGTGCATAGTATTTGACAGTGTAGTCGAGCCACGATCTTATCAAAATTCCTTTCCTTGGTTCTTTAAAACGGAAAAAATGATGCGTCCGCAGTTGCTCGTTCTCTAGCGACATTGTGAACGTGGTCAGCCATCTCGAAGGAGCATTTTCCGTACCTGCCCACAAAAATGGACCGCTTAACATCGCTGACTAGGAGAACAAGAGGGCGACCAATACAATCGTGGGTGACCACCAGCATCAGCGCATTACCTTTGTTCCTCCACAACTACTTCAACTCGTACAACTTGCTGCTCTCCACCACACTTTCTTCAACTTCCCTCGTCGGCGCAGTAGTAGAAGAAATCTCTTTTCCCAGTGATGGGGTTGATGACTATTGGACCCTCTTGATGTATGACATTGGCCTAAGACCAGGAGCAACAGTGGATATCGATTTGACGAATGTAGTGCATCCTGATGCTGAGAAGACCTCTGGTGCTGATGCTGAGACGTCCTCGTCTGGCACTTCGAGTCAAGATGACGATCATGGCATCGTATTCTTTTCGCAGATAGGACAACAAGAGGACGTGGCAGGAGATGAAGACGACACAGGAGGAGCTCTCTCGGACTTGACAGATGTAAACGTCCTTTTAGTAACACACGAACAGTGGGTCAACTGGAATGAGGGACAGCCTTTTTCTTTGCCAGAAGGTGAGTTGAATACGTATTTTCAAAGTACGTGGCGAAGTGGGCCTTTTTCCGCTACGGGTTCTATGCAGGCGACCTTCACATTACCAAAAACGGCGGGGAAAAACTCGAAGCTGCTGACGCAGAGGTATACTTACTATCCTTGTATAGAGCAGCTCGGGACTTTACATGTGAGGACGATATTGTTCGTATGGTACTTCTCACCCAAGAACTTCTGCCTGAAAAATGTGAGCAAAAATCCTCCTCCTTCCTTACTGAAGATATGAAGATCGATGAGATCTGAAAATCGAAGAAGATGAAGAACAGAAGCAAAAACTGCAACTGAGTAGTTTGTCCTAGTTGTACAACAACTGTAGATACTCTTCTCATGCTCATGCTCATGCTCAGGTACCACCTCGGTGTCATCAATCCCTGGCGCAAAGACCTTTTCTTACACGGTCGAGTAGAAATGACCAATCCAGGAAGCGAGCACCTATCGGTCCAACAAGAAAATGTCGCCGCCGTCTACGCCGCTTCATCTTTGGTTAACCTCTGCACTGCGCTTTTCGTCTTTTTGCTGTACTTACGGCGTAGAACAAATGGCATGGACTATAATTCTTGTATACTTGTTCTATGTATAAATACCTATGTATAATAACACTTGAAGAAGAAGAAGAAGAAGTGGGAAGTCCGACTTATAGTAATTAAATATTCTTCAATACTATACCCCTCATGAGTGGGTACACTACTACTCCTACTACTCCTACTACTAGGGGCCACCTTCTTCTGCCTTTGACCTCCTTCATTCCCGATAAGCATTTGGCGACTCCACACCAATGCGACTCCGCGACCGGCATTTCCCGGACAAGACCCTGTCCCGAGGCCATTCGCGACAGGCGTGACGCGGTCTCCTTTACACTTGGCCATGTGTTCAGTCTTCGTACTGAAGAGTTTCTTATGGAAGACTGCTGCTTGACTTTAGTCGAGGAGAATGAATGTCGAGAGCACATGTCACCTGGCATCAACCTCTTGCTAGGCATATCAATCAATCAATCAATATTTGTTTTCAGATGTAGTTGAGGAACTTGAATATCCACATTCATCTGTTTTCTGCAGTTTGCAATTGCAGAAGTTGCGACAACTCGAAGCCACCGGTACGCTGGAGGGGTGGCGAGGCTTACTCGAGTTTTTACCGCAATTGGCCGAGAAAACGGAAAGTATCATAGACCATAGGATAGGATCAGATAGGATAGGTTGCTATTCTTGCCCACTCTACTACACAGATCGTGCCATAAATGTAGAACTTCCCCATACTGAAATTATTAGTCGTTGTAGTCGTTGCTAATATATATAACTTTCTTTAAGGTTAAGCAACAGTATCATTTCGCTGATGAAGTTGCATCATTTCGCTGATCATGATTATGATAAACTATCGTCACTGCCTTCATTTCTGATTCCACTCCCACAGCCATCATTTCGTTGGAACTGATGCTTGTCCTAGCGCTTGGATATCGCGTATTGCGATCTCGGCTGAACATGACAGAAATCCGGCTACTCGCAGTCATGGGTTCTGTCAGTCTCTACCTCGCCGTCTTCGAAATTACCTGCGTGTCAGCTTCCAGCTGCAGCGGCTATAAGCTGGCGAGGGATCTTCTGTTAGGGCACTTATATTTATATATCATAGTGAAGATTATGTATACAACTTAAATATCATTATATATAGTGAAGATTCTCATTCTTGTATCTACTTCATAACTCTATGACACCTGCTGGTGTCTAGTTTATCTTCTAATCTGCCACAGTCTGGGTTTCCTCGTCATTGTAGTAGCAATGAATTTCAACCTGCATACCTTGGGCATGCAGATTGAGGAGGCGAGCGCCGGCCCCGAGGTCGCGAAGTTGTACGCCAGACATAGCACTTACTGGCACTTCCGCTGGATCTTTCTGTTCTTTATCACGGCGCCGACGATATTGGTTTTTCTTATGAAGTGGAAAATGGATTCCCTTTCTCAGCACTGCCTAAGAAATGTACCGCAGCCTACTTTCGCTTGAATCGAATCAGACTCTCGTCCTGTGAGAAATACCTGCACGCCTTACCACCCCTTTGCCTCAAGATAAAGTAAGCACAGAACAGATAGAAGCGCCCATATTACCCAGACCCCTCCCGCTACTCCTACTACTCCTACTACTCCTCCTACTCCTTCCTCCTTACTCCTACTACTCCTCCTACTACTACTCCTCCCACTCCTCCTACTACCTACTACCTATTACTACTGAGGTTCTTTCTATCAGTTTTTATACGAATAGAGAACGTTAGCCGCGGAGTCTACGTTATTTATTTCCTCCAAGACGGACCAAGTAGTACAAATTCTAATGTGCTGCAATTGTCGGTCCTCGACTGGGAAAGCCATTGGATCTTTGTAGCGGTGAAGGAACTTTTCTCTTGGCTACTTGTCGTTTCCCTGGTCTACGTTTTTCAGCCTGGCTTCGCTGTACCAAAGCTACTCTCAGTGCCTCCTCCAGGTGCTTTCCGACACAGGGACGATGACGAAGATGACGAAAGTGTTGGACAAGATGGGGGAGATGACGAAGATGACGAAAGTGTTGGACGAGATGGGGGAGATGACGAAGATGACGAAAGTGTTGGACGAGATGGGGGAGATGACGAAGATGACGAAAGTGTTGGACGAGATGGGGGAGATGACGAAGATGACGAAAGTGTTGGACGAGATGGGGGAGATGACGAAGATGAAGAAAGTGTTGGACGAGATGGGGGAGATGACGAAGATGAAGAAAGTGTTGGAGATACAAATGGGGAGGATGAAGAAATAAGTGTTGGAGATACAACAACTGGGCGGGAGGATGAAATAGATGGGAGTAGAGAGGAAGAAGTGGACGGTGAAAATGGGCAGGAAAAAAATGCAGCCGATCCGGAGGAAAAAGTTGAAAAAAACGCAGCTACGGAGGAAGTTCAACTTGAGTATCATCTTCCCCATAGCTGCGAGCAAGAGGACGCCGAAATAAAAAGATTTTCATCCCCCGTGCAACAAGATAAACTAAGATACCTCATTTTTACGAACCTGTTATCATCTCATGTCCCAGCGCTCGAAAACCCATTGTCACTCAGAGGACACCTCCTTCGCGCACATAGAGGCAAGAGAACAATCTTGGCAACAATGGACTTATGGACAAATATGCCAACGTCCGCATTTTCTATGGTGTGCAGAACGTCACATCAAGTGAGGGGTGGGCCACAATCACATCAAGTGAGGGGTGTATGTTCGGTGCGCTACAAGTACCTAAGGGTCAGAAGAACATGACTAGACAGATGTCTCCAAAAAGCTCTTCAGGCTTTCAAAAGGTTTGAGTGAACCTATGAGTGACTCTTTGAAGTTAACGATGCCTTTGAGCTCTTAGAGTTCGAGCGGTTGAGTGTGGACCTTACTGAAACACGAGTAGGACAGAGTCTGAATCATCTATTTAGTGACTGAATGAGTAAAGGACTGCAATTAGTGTTCTTTTCGTTTCGAAAAATTTGACACAGGACAATCTCGCAATCAAAACATAGTTGGTAGCATCCACAACTACATGACATAGACATTCATAAACACTAAAACATCATGTTCTTCATCATCCAGCACATGTTCACGGCCACGACGACCACATAGAAATATAATCTTCTGCGTACCTCCACGTGGAAAACATGCCTTCAACAAGCCCCTCGGTTAGATCTTCTTCTCTGTCGGACTTCAACTTGGTGAACATGGAGGAGCCAGTGCAGGATGGGAAGGGCGCGGACTCTCCTCATGAAGGAAAAGCCGCAGCTGAGGACGATGTCATGGAGGTTCAAGTTGATGTTGAAGGCGAAGGTGAACAAGAGGAGAACCTGGCAGGTGGTGAAGGTTCTAGCTCTAGTTGTAGTTCTAGCTCTTCCGCATTTAAGGAAGATGTTGATGCCTCAAATGCACCATACGCGTCGACCCCCTCGCAAGGCGCCTACCCTAACACCTCTACTTCAGCACTAACCGGTGGTGGTTCTGCATCGTCCTCGTCCTCATCTTCAGCGAGGACGCCTACGTCCTCTCATAGCGGCAAAAATACACCTACATCATCTACTGGCGGAGGGCCGTCCTCTAGTGCGAGTTCTAGTAGTACCACTACTGCAATCCGGAAGCCCTGGGAGTACCCGCTATCAAAGACAGAAAAGGAGTCTCTCATAGGATTGGCGTATAAAAGCGAAATACAGATAGCGAATGAGGAGAAGAGGATGGATGAAAATATGGTACTAAATATGGTACTATAGCTTGTTCTTTAGTTACGTTGCATCATTACAAAATGCGCCTTTAGCGGTAGCCAACATGATAGTCTCCAGGATGTACATCAAAGTAAATTTTCTACTACAAGAACAAACACATCGTAGATCGAAACGTTAACGCAAATGAACGAGCGGCTGACGCAAGAGCTGGAGCATGAAAAACGAGTGGGCAAAAGACGACATTTTAGACTGTCTTTTGGCGAGCAATTGGATGATCATGAAAGCGCTTTAGAGCTCGAAAAAGCGTATGAACATTTAGACATGTTCAAAGGCGCTGGAGGGGGATCTCGTAGCAGTTCGAAAAAATCGGGTGACAAAGAGGATGAGAAGGAAGGTGAAGGTGGAAGTGAAACCAGCGGTAACAACAACGGGAATACGAATAGTGTTATGGCTATAAACAGTTTCTACAGTTCTTAGTCACCGCTCTCCTTGTTCTACAACCTGTTCTACCTGTTCGTGAATGTGACACTGCAACTTCAAATCTTGTTAGCGTTTTCTAAACTTCCAGACGAAGGAGACGGTAGCTGGACTGTGCTGCCAAGAGACGACCAAACAGCATCAAAGAAGCGAGCTCGACCAGCAGAAGGAGAGGCTAGTAATCTTAGTATAGATTCCGATGGTAGTACAACTAGTACGATACTCAAGATAAATAAGAGAACTACTTCTGGTACAACTGGTACTGCTACTGGTGCTGGATGCGAAGATGCAGGTGTAGTAGTAGTTCCAAAAGTAGCCCTCTACGTTTTCGGAGGGTTGTTTGTAGCTCTCCTACTACTACTGGGAGCAACGGCATCAGTGCTTTTGTCGCGGAACGCATCATCTGCAGAACCTCCGAGGACTGAACCTGGCAGTGGTGTGGTTGCAACCTCAGAGTCGAAAGCTTCCAGTGGTACAACAGCCTTGTTATCTTCTGGTGCGAGCAAAGGTCCTCGGGCACAAGAAGGGAAACCACCATCCTCTTCATCTAGTCCTAGCGTTCCAAGCGGTACTGCCTCCAAAGCTGCTAAAGATCAACAACTGGAGAAAGCAACATCAGATGAAGATGAGAATCTTGAGTCTACTAACAAACAAGCGAAAACTAAAGAACGGACAACGTCAACAGGAACGCCACTTCCACCAAGGTTAATCACATCCAATACTGGCGGACAAGGACAAATGACACTCGACGGCGCAGATTACCAGACGCTGCAGCACAAATTGAAGACAATACGTGGGGCTTCTTCGGTACTGGATTCAGCGACTGGGGCGAGTCAACACTACGTCTTCGAAGGCACTATCGCACAGGAGTTGGACAGAGCCCTCACCTTTTTCGGTCGTGGGGAGTGCGATAAGAGTGCCGACCGCTTGTATCAGTTGCTGCATAGTAACCTGACGGACACGGTTTGGCGACCAAAAGTTTTGAGGGTACCTACCACTGGCTATTTATTCATGATCCATCCCTTACGTCCTCGAAAACTGAAGATAACCGAGGTAGGCACTGAAATAAGGGAGGCAGCTTTGACAGGGCTACTCTTCCTTGTTCAGTATCTCGCTGATTTTATGAGAATTCAAATATTCACAGGATCTATAATCTTAGAAGGTAAGGGTATGCGTGCGTGATTATCTCGTGAGTTCGTGACTAGTGATTGTGATTAAATTTCTTTCGTGATTGTGAAAACCGCATAGAGCACTGTAGCACGTGCACCACCCCCAGCTATGTCAATGATCATTATTTGGCACGCTCAGTCCCCTCCTGGTGCAGGGCTTCGCTTCCCTGTTGGAGGCGATTGGAGTTATTTAGGGCCCTTACTCTGCTCAAATAATTATAATTGGTTTTAGCAACGTTCTATAGTGGTAGTCTGGACCTAGGTGATGTTGATGTTTAAGGGAGAAGTATCCCTTCCCCTTCACTAAAGTGAACCGAGTTTAGCTTTTGGGGCTAGCTCGAAAACATTCGTGCCAAACGATTTAGGTGCTTCAGGATGTTATCAGATGTGAAGAAAAACAATCTATCTACCTCTGCTGCTGCGATGTGTGTTCAGGGTTTGAATGGATCAGAAGGAGATTTGAATTTACTTTAATCTTAGGCTGGCTAGGTTTGGAAGATTAAAGTAGTTACTCGCTTATTTCAGTTTATCGAATAGCTTTCGTAGTACTTATTTCATCTCAATTGTCATCAAGGCTTCACCATTATGACCTTCTTCGGTCGTCATGTATAGGTTAAGGATGGTGTATTAGCTTTACTTACAGTTGTCCTTCATCTCCTTGTTTTGACGAGAGCGAGTGTCTCGATGCTATCCACTGATGATCATAGCTAAAAATAGAAACTCTATCTCTACCCAACACTCTACCCAAATATACAGAACTACGGCTACACCCTTTTCTGCTCCGACCCACCGCGAAAACCGGAAGCTTTAGAGGCTTTTGACGTTGCCTATCGGATACAAGAACAGCACCCAAGGTGGACGTGGAATCTCATAGGATATATCGCGGCTTCCTACGGAGACACTCAAAATGCATTGGCGGCTTTTGTTATGCTGAGAATCATTATTATTATTGGTCACTACTGAATTATTATTACTATTATTTTGTTTTGTTATTGTTTTTGGTCACTACTTCTACTGAAACTCAACATCTAATTTACTACTTCTACTGAAACTCAACTCAACTACATCTAATTTATACTTCATGATAGATCTTCATTTAAGTGGTAGATGTGACACAGAGGACACGTATTAAAAAGCACAAGTCATCAATGATCCCAAGATAGAAGTTCATCTTCATGTTGATAAGCTTTATTTCTCGAATCTCAACAACGGGTTAAACGTGGACAGAGCAGCGATTAGTAAGGAGCTAACCGAGCGGGACCAGGGAAGCCTTATGCTCCTCAACAACTTCGTGGGGGCGACGGTATTTGTAGAAAAGAAGTTGTTTTCAGAGATTCTTCTAGTTCCAGTGTGAGTACTTACTTATGTTGGGGTTTTGCTATATAAGTACTTAAGTAGACGACCTTAGCATCGATTCATCCTGCGTGTAGGTGCTATAATATGCCTATTAGGGATGCACAGAATAGCAAACGGGTTATGTTGCATGAATTCGTGAGTCAACCCTCCCGCCCATGGTTTTCGTTTTTGTCCTACGACTTCCTAAAAAAAGTAAAAGTGATCCTTTCATCTCACATCATGCAATAGGTCCTCCGCGCTCGCGAGTTGGAAAACGAAGGACGCGAACGCACACTGTTTCTAGGAGTTTCATTAAGGCTCAGCTTTCAATGGTCATTGGGGTTGGTCACTGAGATCGAAGAGGCGACCCCTTGAGAGAACAGGGGAAAAGGAAGGGAAAGGGGAGAGCTTTGAAGGGGGTCCCTTCCGTTCAGAGTCAGTGACCCTTGAATGCTGAGCTTTAATTTCAGCAGTGAACGAGCTGGATTCGTTGAGCGGCAACGAGCCGTTGTTTGGCGCTACCATCCTGTCATTCGAAAAGCTGATAAAAATTAAGGCTTACCGTAATTCATTTTGAGAAGCATCTCTCTCTGGCCCCTTTTTCCAGGGGGAAACAGGTTTGCAAGATGGATATCTGTATAAGATGAACAATATCTGTAAGTTCTAAAAAAACCGGAGAGTGGTTTGATCCTCAGCTGGCGGTTTTCTACGATTGGGAAGAGTACTGAGGAAAAGAGCATTAATGAATAGATATGAATCCCCCCGTGAGTTCTTAGAAAATCCAACATGAAATGAAGGAAATCTTTATGTATTTTTCATAGCTAGACCTCGTTCCTTCTACTTAAAACAATAGATAATTGGTGGAGTACGAGATTTTAAGCATAAGAATGCAAGAATAGCTTCCGGGAATACCTCCATTCTAAAATTTTGACTAGAACCCTTGTATAAGCTTACCATTGGCTAATCTTGAAAATGTCTATCATCTATTGTCTGCTAACAACGCGAACACCGCATCAATGTCATGCTGTGTCTAATTCTATCCTTGACTGTCACTGTCTCTGTCGAAGTTCTCTCGTTCACACACACTAAAGAACCGTTGACCTTGTGTCTACGAGTAATTTCTCTTCATTTATGAAAAGCAAGTTACAGCTGATCCATTGAGATGCTCACGATCATGTCATACGATTTGAAGGGCAACAAGGATCGATCATGCCTGCGACGTTGATGATATTATCATGGATGCCAATGATGTTTTTTTTTGGTGTATACTTGTGCTTGTCCTCTGCGCTGTACGTCCTTCTCTCTCGTCCTACGATGTAAGAAACTAGTGCTGTCAGTAGCACCACGCCAACTTGCTATAGTAAATGAGGTACAGAACGACCACCATTGCTTTGTTCCCCACTGCCACTTGACAAGTAGCATGACTTCGAAGAAGGATCCGGGCTGCAGATTATCTGATGACGAAGATGGAATAGCCACAAGATCTGTGTGAGTATAATCCCATGACATAATCATCCACAACTTATAACTTGGTCGCAAAGGTTCACGAGTAAGGTAATCAGTGGACCTTATCTCAGCCGCGCATCCGATTCAGCTCGCGACCCCGAGCGAGACTGAGCTTTTATTTCGCCAAGTCATGGCGCAAATAGCGGTATTATAGCTGGTGTGAGTATCCCATGACGAAGATGGAATAGACACAAGACTTCCATGATGCATGCTTCGTCGTCTAGCTCTGCTGACCCGGCTTCCGGAGACGAAGCACTTTCCGGAAGAGCTGCGAAGAACGCCTTAACTCAAGAGCAGGTTGCGGCAATGCATGCGCGAGTGGCGTCGGCTTTGGTTAGGGAGGGTATAGTTATTTGAGTAGTTTTTTGGCGTTGATAAAACTTTGGGAAAACAAGGGAACAAACTGGTGGAGCCTACACAGATCTCTTGTGCGAATGAATGAATGAGTGAGATCGTGAAGATCATTAAGATACCTTGTCTTGTTACCAAGCAGTGTCTTTGTGAACTATAGAGCAGAAGAAGGCCGTTCAAGTCTTCCAATGTTGAACAAAACCTCTTAATAATACCAGTTCTTATACCACGAGAACAAAACCTCTTAATATTACCAGTTCTTATACCACGAGAACAAAACCTCTTGAAAATAATACCAGTTCTTATACCACGAGAACAAAACCTCTTAATAATACCAGTTCTTATACCACGAGAACAAAACCTCTTAAAAATGATACCAGTTCTTATACCACGAGCTCTTCTCCATCTCCTCTAATCGTCCGACCGAAGCATCAGCAACAGCCCAAAAACGCCCTGCTCCTCCTTTCTACAAAGACGCCGTGCCAGTTCGTGAGGACCCACGATCTCATGTACGCAAACACGCGAAATATTTCCGGTTAATGCGCGATCCCTCTGGCCTCCATGAGCGACATTTATATCCCTGGGAAGACATGATAATTGCTAAGGATCGGAGAAAAGAGACTGTTGATGCTCTCGAAAAAACGAGGGAGATAAAACCTCTACGCGGAGACGAAGGCGCACATAGTCATCCGTTAAGGTCAACATTTAGTGTCCATCTTTCTCGGCAACGGCATCTTGGTGCCCTTTGGTTCCCCTGTATTCTTCTCATGACATGATACAAGAAGGGTAGTAAAGGGGTCAAGATGAGGGGGCCGAGATGCAATCTAGGAGACTCTAAGTCCGGATATATTGGCGGGGGAAGATGAGGCCGATGACCGAGACTGGAGAAAGTATCACTCACTATGGTACCAGTTGTTTTTCTAAATGTATGATTGAACCTTAATATTGAACCTGTACTGCTAGCGTCTACTTGACTTAGAAGTCATGTACCCTTTCAGAACGTATCTCTGCGGATGTCAGGAACGGCATTATCAGGGATCATACACACATACTTATTGAACAAATATTTATCACTCTCTGTCTTGACTGGAAATGAGTATTCATGATCAGCTGTAGTTACGGTTTTTTAGATGTTGTAGTTTCATCCGCTTCTACAGCAATCTATCTCTTGATTTTTGTACTCGTCGGGCGCTTGCCATACTAGTGATGATTCATGACATACAGACCATCGGAGGATGGCAAGGGGAAGGAAATTCGCTATCCCTGGTTTGCTCATCTCGAGAGGCAAGAAACTTTTCCGGACCTCGACAAGCATGGCGAAAAGAAACCCGGACATCAAGCAGACAAGCCGCAGCCATTACCTTGGGAATACGTGCAGCAAGAACACGAAGATCCTGACGAGCCTTCAGCACGACCTAGTACCCAGGGAAAAGCAGTGGCAGAACGCATCATAATAGACGGAGACGGCAATCGTCGACGTGTTCTAGTGGACAAAGATGGCCGCCATCCTAGTCCCGGGGACTGGGATGGGACAGAAGACGTGTTCCCATGGCAGCACCATCCGATTGACCCAGGATACGAAGAGATGGACCTCCTGAATGTGGAGGAAGCCGAACACCATATGTTAAGGCTGGTTTCTTTGGTACTCGTACTGGCTTGCGTAAGCGTACTATGGTGAAAAAAAATAGTACGTATTTAGAGCAGACCAGTTTTTTTAGAGGTACTGTCCAATAAACTTAACTTGTTTTCATCAATGTGCCTCCTACTCCTTGTATTAAATTTTGACACTTATCATGCTCAGACTGTATCTTCTTCCTCTAAAAATTGCATATCCCTGGAACGTCCACGATCTACCGTTTCATCCTGACGAAGCAAAAACCCTGTATCCCTGGGACTATGCCTTACCATACGAACGGATATATGAGGCCTCACAGAAGGAGCTTGCCATGTTAGCGGCCGCTGAGTTAGAAGTAGGAGGTCGTGATCATGTTACGACTTACTACCGTACTAGTTGTAAAAAGAACCCATCTTCCATTGGAAAAAATGCATCGTGGAGCTGTCCCAAAGGAAAACAGCTCCACGATGAATCCAAGTCATCGCACTTAGCTGAGGCCGCTCCTTCAGTAGCCCCGGGATCCAAAAAAAAGTTCTAGCTGGAGTGGAACCCCCTGAAACTTGAAACTTGGGCCATCGCTAATGATGAGGAGCAAGGTGGAGTACCACATGAACGAGAGGCGAAGAAGCTACCTCCCCGATGGAAACCTGAGAGTGAGCAACTCCATGTTCCGGGAGAGACAGAGGACACTGTATTGGAATTCGGTTCGGATGAAGAGAAGGGGCATCTACCTGCCACGAAAGGACTCGTTACACGTACACACAAAGAACGAACACGAGATGTTTTTAAGGCTCAATATTTATAAATATTTCATTTCTACCAGTCATAGTCATTTCTCCCTGGAAATTTCCTTCTTAGGATTGGGAGAAATGTAGGCAAGAAATGATAAGCTCTAAAGATGATACTTTTACTTTCACAGAGTGAAGCTCTAACGATCATACGCTCACAGATGACCACCTACGCAACGCTGTCTGCGAAAAAACAGCTCTACAATACCACTGCGAGAAGGTGAATGAATTATGCTTCAAGATAATGTACGACGTGGAGTGGGACGCGTATGAGGCACTCTATCTGCAGGATGGACACTTGAAGTTGACCCCTTCATCTTTTGTGAGGGAGTTGCACAGGTGGACTTCAGGCAAAGGTAGGTGTGATCTTGGTCCTTCTGGTGAAGAAGAAAAGCCTTTGTCTTTCGAGGAAGAATATGAAGCAGCGTCAGTAGGGCGGTCGAGACTAGCGAGGCATAGGGCTTTTAGAGCAGCAGCCAGAGAAGGGGAAGATGATGAATCAGAGGACAACGAGGAGGTCGAGAGGCAGACGGAGGAAGGCCACGAGCAGGAAGACGATAGCAAATTAAGGCTCAATATATTTCTATTTCTCATTTCCAAGGGTTAAGAACTTTCTCTGTTTTCTTCTTGGAATACTGAAGAGATGAAGATCAACCTGGGATCAAGTGAATTGTTTTGAGCTCTAAGCAGACATCGCCTGGACGCAGACTTAGGGCCTATAGGCGAATTCTTCGCGCAGCATGATATCCTCAGGACGAAGGAAATTTCCTTCACTCTTCGTGTATGCGAGCGCCTCTTGCTTCGTCAAGCACTTCATGCTCATGGATTGTTACAACGTCATGGAAAATGTGAGGATGAAGAGCAGGATGAACATGGACAAGACCAAGCTTTTCTAGATGTACTAGAAGACGAAAAAAGTACCTCCAACATCATGAAAAAATCCAAGAAAAATCAAGATCAAGGTGAAGATGATTTTGAACTAGTGCTAGAGCCTTTGTTTGGACCTGGGAGTCTGGCTTCTCTTGGTCTCCCTGGAGCCGATTTTCAACCTGGATATTGGTATAGACGAAGGAAGCGAAATAGAGATGTTTTTTTAGGCTGTGAAGATGGAGATGATCATGCTGTAGACCACCTTGACGGACACGGAGACGCAGTATCAAAAAGTAAAACAAGGGACGAAGACCAGTCTGCATGTTTGTTTGTCGAGGTGGATCTGGACAAAGAGCAGGTGCGATTGCTGTCTTCGCCGGCGCCCGATGGAACAAGAACTGGAAGCGCGGAAGTAGATGAGTACAGTATGCACATGCACGACCCAAAGAACTCTGACAAGATCACTTCCTCTTCCTCGATCCCCAAGAATATGAAGAAGTTCCTCTTCCGTTTCGACCTTGGCATCTTCATGACCGGCATAGAAGAGTCAAGTACAAGTGAGGAGTCTGAACGCCTAATTGCTAGAGCAGCTGCTTCGTCAAGGAACATCAGAATCACTAGTAATAGTAGCGATAGCTGCGTCACTCGAGAATTAATCGACCTTCTTCGGCTGTCGCGCAGCCTTCCTGAAGTCGATTTTCCCGAGATGAACACCAGTGCTATGGCACATGCTGAGCGTTCCATAGCCAGAATCCGAGAAGGAAACGTGGAGCGCTTGGCAAAACTCGAGGGAAGTGCTAGAACACAGCAGAAAATCGCGGAGGAACTAGAGGAGACAAAAAGGGCTTTGGAAAGGACGAGGGAGGATCTGAGAACAACAAAGTCAAAGAGTGCCTCTAGGTCTACTAGTACTTCTAGTCGTTGCAGTCCCGTCCAACAGAACATGAAGCAGAAAGAGCTCCCGGTTGATAATATTGAAGCCAGCAAAATCGAAGATACTGCGAAGACAGAAGTTCCTCCTGCTCTCCCTCTTTCTAAAGAAGCGACGCCTACTAGTAAAACCATCCACGGCACTTCTAGTATACCAGGTTTTTCACCATCCACGGCACTTCTGGTCGAAGATGGAGGCTGCGGGATGCGCATCTTTATAACTCCACCGCCTGATGCTGGTGATGCTCTTTTAAGGGTAGGTTAAAGGTGCTTTTGTTACTGCTTTTTATGCCTCTCCTAAGGGAGAAAGGGATAAAAAGCGGGGTAAGCAAGCACCAAAAACCTACCTCTAACTCTTCCTTTGTTGTTTTATCCGAGTTCTAATGCGGAAAGAGAAATGAAGCTAGAGACCAATGAAGAAGAAGAGAGAACTGCAACTGGTGAAGACAGGAGCTCCAAAGCTGAAGGTGCCGAACAAGCTGACATCAATTATAACAAGGAAACTGAAGTTCTTGCAGAAGATGGAAACAACAACAAAAGTAGTAGTACGACTACAACTGAAGTTCTTGATGAAGATGGAAAACCAAAAACAACAGGAAGTAGTACGACTACAAGCGAACAAGTTGAGGAAGATGAAGGTGGAAAAAGAACAGGAAGAACTAGTGCGATGAAGAATGAGGACATTGACATGCCTGGCCTGGTTCTCGTTCCTGCATATATCGACCAAGCTGAGCCAAAAAGCGCTGAGACCAACACGTTATGGCTACAAAGTAATATCATAGGTTCTGCCGATTCTTGCTAGTTAGTTCTTGCACACCTTGCTTATTATCATTTTTTCTTGGAGTGACAATGTCAACGAACAACAAGATTATACAGTAATGAAAACATGCAAGTAAGGGTGGAAGTGTATGCTGGATTTGTTCTAAGCAGTTCCCGGCAAATTTTCGAGATGTTCCGTTGCCACGACTTGCTTCTTTTACAGCAGAGTGTGGAAGGTTTTTTGATGGAGGCTAGAGAATACCGAAAAAGATACCAGCAGAAACTTTTCGCGATATTAGAGACTGAAGACAAAGCGGCTTTTACAATGCTTTCAACGGCGAACTCGAGCTATGCGAAGAAGACACAGCAAACTAGTAGTACACATCAAGAAATAATTGGGAAGACATCAATTGAGCAAGATGTACAACAGGAGCAGGAGATGACTACACAGCAAAACATCAATCGAGGAGAACGGCCACAGGAAAAGCAAGCTTCTGCTCCTAAGAGTCCTGCATCTGAGACATCGATTTGGCTCGATCGCGCGCGAGAGCGTTTTCCTCTGATGCTTTATCGTAAAAATGGTCATGTGGAGCAGGAGTCGCAATTTCTGTTACGACCTTCGACCAGGATGCGTGCGGAGTCTGTACTAGCATTCAAAGACTCTCCGCGTCTGTTGCGAGGCTCCACCATGCCTTGGGAAAAATAGAGGGAAGATGAATGGACGCAGTAGAACTAGGAGTTGGAACTAAAAGCTGTACTCGTTCATCTTGTTCTGCAGTTTTGATAAGCTCTATGGTTGTGAATGTGATATTGAATTCGTTGGTTGTTGTTGGTGGGATCCTGTTCTAACATGAAATGTTAATGTGTTCTTGTATGTGTCTTGTCAATGAACATATCAAGGGCACGCAAATGAAGCTATGTTCTTCTTCTTCTTCTTCTTCTTCTTCTTCTTCTTCTTCTTCTTCTTCTTCTTCTTCTTCTTCTTCTTCTTCTTCTAGGTATGTTCTTTCATCTTCTTCTTGTTCTTGTTCAGTAAACGTAAAAAAGCCAACATGAGTCTCGATTAAGTTTTGCTCTCCTCTTCGCTGAATAGCAGAAGTTCAGGCTCTCCAGCGCCGCAATGAATAGCTGAAGATAAAAAAGCATCTGCGTTCATCAGAGATGGTCTTCTTCTTCTCCCCTACCAATGCCACATACGGAGACCACCCAATCGGAACGATTTGGCAGAACCTACTTTCGGAACAGCCTACCCCCGCGTTTCTAGTGCTCATTTTTAAGAAACCAAACAAAAGCATCATTGGTTGTCAGTCGATTACGTGGAGGGGATCCGGGAAGAGCGGACACTGGCCCGACTCGGGAATAGCGGACACTGGCCCGACTCGCGGTGTTTAAAGAGGTACAACTCACTCACCATTCGCAGAATTACGGCGAATATGAATATGGACATAATCAGTGGGACGAAGTTTTATTTTTAGTATCGAGCAGCAAAAAGAAGTGGCTCCGTACCTCTTCTTTTTGGCCTTCGTTCATCCTAATTACTTCAATTGAATACGTAGTGCTGTCTAATATAATAGCGCTGAGCAGGACAGCGAGGACGAAGATGACGCACCACTGCGACTGCTGACCCGCTCAGAGAGCTCCGGTTGATGGTGCATCTTTTTGGAAGCATCGCCATTAGATTAAATAAGAAGTCTTGAGTGATAAGTTTGAGTTTCCACGAAACAATTGATACTGACTCCTCCTTGATTGGATGAACTGCAACTTCTTGCAGGAAAGCAGGACAACACATAATGACGAAGTGTTACGCTAATTTGTTACAAGAAAAATGAGGAATGTGAATTGACAAATGTGATCTTCCTAGTGTGGGACGGATACGAGGTGTATGTAGAATGCGCGCAGGGTATCCTCGTACACATTGGCCGTCTTCTTAAAGGAACAAATCAGCACGACGTGGCCTGGCAGTCACTCTTCTAGTACAGAGAAGAAGATATTAATGTGTTCTGACGCACAACTTCCAGAAAACGGAGAAGGAAACTTCATGACTCTACGCCAATGAATCAGTACCTGATCTTTCTGTTACTGGAACTCCGAAGAGGCTCAAGGATCCCTTCTACTTGTGTGTCTTTTGGGTAAGGCGTGAGAGTTTCTAATGCGTGAGAGTGGCAGATGACGATGAGTGGCAGATGACGACTTGTTCCTGTAGAAGTACTTACAATCGTTTGAGAGGCATTAAATGTAAAGACTTCTAGAGGAGCAACATCAACATCCATTTGTTCATCATGGAATAAAAACTCTCACACTTCTGCGATCAACAAGATGCCACCTAGAAGTAAAAGTATCAACAACGGTCGTCCAGGCCCAAATTCACGCGGAAATTCTGGCGCAAAAAGCAGAGCAGATGGTTCAGGCGAAAATTCACGCCGAAGTTCTGGCGAAAGAAACAACGGAGGTCGTTCATTTCCAAATTCACGCGGAAATTCTGCCTCCACCTCCGCCGGCTCTCTCGAGATGGAGGCAGGTAAAATCGAAGCAGGTCCAGGTTCAGCTTCAAACAAGGAGACCACTGGATCTGGCGCATGGACTCCCTCCACCTCCGCCAGCTCTCGCTCTCCTTCACGATCTTCCTCCATTTCTAGTCTTGAACATGGATCATCACTTGGACCAAAGGCCGAGTGGGATCAAATGCTGCAGCTAGATGGAGCAGAACAAGAGGGCGCAAGCTGTCCTGCGCCCAATCGTTATAGCCTTCCGTCGCTTAAGAATTGGAAGAAGCCGGGTTTTCCTACGAGTTCACTTTCAGCCAGATTTATGGTTTTTTCCAGCGACTCAGGCTCTGCGGGCACAGATAGTGGACGTTGCCAGTTGAAGATTCTACACAACATCATGAGTAGTGACAAAACCTGTTTTGAAAGTGGTGTTGCGCCCTGGGAGGGTGGCCGCGACACACTTCTTGGTCGTGCAGCGTATGACGCCGGTCGTGCAGCGTATGACGCCAGCACTGGTAAGGAATTTGCAACTTTTTTCACGTTCATCCTGAACAAACAACTATATCCGATGATCGAGGAGCAGGAGGCCAAGAATAATGATGAGGAGCTGGGCGATTCTCTGTCTTCTCCTGGCGCCACCAGCTTGGTTTTGGGCACGCAAACGTTGAAGACTATCATCTCCCCGTTGAAGACTATCATTCTGGACTTCCTACACGCTCGCTGGCGTCTATCACCGCAAATTCAATTGTTGGACAACAACAACTCACCTTCGGGTGGACGTCTGAATGCCGGTTTTGCGAACATGCAAGAGGGCACAAGTAGCTTCTTTGCTTGCGCGTTCCTCGACGCCATGACTAAAGAAGCGAAGCAAGAGAAAAAGCTGGGCACCGCTAAGTGCACTTCTGGAGAAATTAAAATTGTGGTATAATACCATTATTACAAGTAGAGTACTTAGTCTTAGACTTTGATTTTCAGTCTACTGAAATTTTACCTGTAGCTAGAAGTAGTTGTATGAAATTCTACTCGAAGATTGAATGACTCTGGTATTTGGTAACCTAATTTCGATCAGAAGAAAAACCAGAAGAGAATCCTTGTGATTAAATTCAGGTTACCAAATACCGGAACAATACGAAGATAAGTAGAGAAATGATACTGTTCTTTTCTAAGGTCTTCTAATACATCAACTACAACTACTGACTCTTGAAGAAGATCATTATAACTGCCCTTCTCTGATACACTTACAATCAGGCCCACGAGAAAGGCAGGTGGCAATCCTTTTTAACGGAAATAGTTGAACCGGCATACACAGAGTTGCAAAAGGTAGTGACATTGAGCTGCGTGGATATGGTGCGCACTGCTCTGTTACGAAACGGTGTCGCTCGCGCCATTGCGGATGAAAACAAACTCAGTGTGGTGAGTAAATATTTATAATTGTAATTGATTTTTCCACGACTTCTTTTTCTTCTCCTGGTTCTGAATTCAGTTCCTTGTATAGCGGGCGGAGGACCTTCTACTTTCCTGAAAAAATAATCAAAGTAAAACATGATGATACAACTAAGTACGTAAACTGAAGAACGTGACCAAGGTACTACAGGTTCTTAAAAAAACAACTTCATACCGAATTCTCTCCGAAGACAAACCAATAAGATCCCACCTGTACTACAACTAAGGATAAAAAGTGAGGACAGCAAATAGTCAGACATTATGACATATAGTATTATTCTTTATGACCATTACTTACGCTTACCGCTATTCTTGCAACAGGTGCAGTATGCAGCTACTGTGGGCGGGATTATCTACCCCAATTTGAATGATCCGATCCTGGAGGGGTTGTGTCGAAGCAGTTCGCCTGCCGAATTTTCTGCGGAATTTGGGAAATTCCGGGATGCTGTGCTCCTACAGCAGCCGCAGAGGGCGCCCCTCGACTGGTGGACGAGCATTCTTCATCTCGCACGGGGTGGCAAAGGCGACCAAAGTGCAAGAGACACCGCGTGCCGTCAGCTGGAAAAATTCGTGCCTCAAATTAAGGCTCAACTTTCAATGGTCATTGGGGTTGGTCACTGAGATCGAAGAGGCGACCCCTGGACGAGAGAACAGGGGAAAACGAAGGGAAAGGGGAGAGCCTTGGAGGGGTCTCTTCCGTTCCGAGTCAGTGACCAACGAATGCTGAGCTTTAATCGAAAGAACGGCCACGCCATTTTGTCAGAGGCTGAACTGGAACGCATCGGCTTGGTTACTACAGGAAGTGGTGCAGGAAGTGATGATCTTAGTCCTCTATCAAAACAGCTTGACAGAATAGGAAGAGAACTGTCGAGCACCTATGATCAGAAAGAAGACCGATGCATCTTAAGACTGGGGAACAACATTTTCAGTTCCACGTCTCTTGCAGTGCCTAGTAGTGACACTGACACGTCGTGGCGTGGAGTCCGCGACAAATTCCTTGGCAGCGCAGCATTTCACGCACCTGGTTCTTTGGAGGATGTAAGGCCGATCTATAACGATCAAGAGGGTCGTTTACTTTTTCAAGACATAACTAGTATGACGCTGGACAGCCTCTTCGCTTTGGCGGAAGTGATGGTGGACGCGAAGCAACCTGCGGTATCTCAGGTGTCGGACACCTTGAAGATTGTTGTGGTAGTTTTTCTCCAAAATTACTGGAAGCTGATCCCGGGATTACAAATTTTTGGAGGAGGTCAGCGCGCAATGAGAGCAAATTCTGCAAATGCACGACCGCAGACTGTTCGTACAACAGATACAGGGGCAGTAGGAGGTTCTTTAGTTGCGAAGCTACAGAAGAGCGTGTTTGCCTGCGCATATCTCGAGGCCATGTTGGACCGATCTAGTGACGAAGCAGCCCTTTTGAGCTCTTGCAGAGGCGCGGGCACAAGGGTATTTGTTTTTCAGAGGATCCTGATCCTGAATTTGTTTCGGAGGTTTCACATATCATACTTGCACTGTAGCTCCTTCTGATTTGTTTCCTATGCGCAACCAAAAACGAGGTTCAAAACGAGGACTCAAAGTGGTCGACTTTTTTGAAAGCCAAGGTGATTCCAGGATACACGGCATTGGGTAAGAGAGTCTATACAGCATGCACAGATTCGGTGTGGAAACACCTGGACCGGAAGTCAAAGGTGCTCGAGCTTGCTGCAGAGACAGACGAAGATCAGGTAAATAATAATAGTCCAGCTCATGATCATTATTTTAGTGAAGTAGCTGACTCTGTCTTGTTCTATCATTTTTTTCATTTCATCATCATCACGATCACATGATTTGATGAAATATAGATATTTAGAAGTATATTTTAGATATAGATGTACAGGCAGCGTAAAAGTAAATAAATGCCGCAAGAAAGTTTAAAATGCGTAAGAAAGTATACACGTTGGGGCCCGGGGCCGGTGCCTCAAATGCTAGAAGACTAGGAAACACTTTTCTAAGGCATCATCTGGAGTTGGCTAGCTCTCGAGAATAACCTCTGATTCACTTGTTCTCCTGCAGGTCACGCAATGGTCGGAAAAATTGTGTCAAGCTACATCGGCAAAGGAATTTTTTCATGCACTTCAAAACATACCAGCGTTTCAGAAGACTTCTACGCCTGAGCCGCTTCAGAAGGCTTCTACGCCTGAGCAGAGGACAAACTTACGGCTACCATTAAAAGTCTGCCTAGATAGATTTACAAAATATTATATACATGCAACTGATTGAAGACCATGATCAAGAACATCTCTGGCCACTTCTTCTTCTTCGAGGGGTCGTGGGGAGAGAACGGAATTAGAAGCATCTTGACTTCGACGCCATGGATTTGTTTTATTCTTGGCACTTTCGACCTAAAGAGAACGACATTCGAGGAGCCATCATCATGTTGCTAAAAGATATTGAATATTTCAATACTGCACTCAGATCGATCATTTGTAAAAGCTCTAAAAAACCACGACGTGATGAACAATGCAGAGCAGGACCCTCTTCTGCATCCTTTCACAAGCGGCGTGACAAAATGCTTGGCGCCGGAGGACAATTCCTCAGTATCTGGGGAAATCGCTCAGAGCCTAGCAAACTGGGTAAAAGGAGGACAAGAAACTCTTCAGAGCATTTTCGAAGGAACAGACTACAACAAGAAAGCTGCTGTGTGCATTTTCAACATGCTCTTCAGTTCCGAACCGTTATTTGATGAAGTCATTGGAAAAGACGGCAGAACCAAAGTAGTGTCTTCACGAGAGCGAATTACAATGTTACTGCGGACGGCGACTGATGCTCCTCGATTGACTAAACAGATCAACTCAGCTGCACAGAAAATTTTGGAGTATAGCTTTGTTCACGCATCAGATGATGAGCAAAATAAGATTTTGAGAGCAGGAAGCCTCATCAAACAGCTCGAGCAGCTCTGGAGTAAGATCAGCGGTGATCTTTCAAGGTGGGGCCTACTGCCTTCAAGCAGCGGCTCTATCGTTTCATCCATGAGGAAGAATTCGCGGGTATTTCATTACTCTGGGCTTTGCTAAGTTGTATCTAAGCTTACTTTTTTCGATTCTGTTGTAGTTGTACTATCAATTTGAATTTACACGAAATCACAATATGCATGCGCATGTTCAACGACATTGCAGGCTCCCGCTGTACAAGCTGCGCATTGGGAATTGTGTCAGGATTTTTTCAAAGATGTCCTGAAAGTATGGAGAGTTGCGAAGTGGCAGAGGAGAAAAGGGAGCACCACCCATATAATCATGATGTCACCGCATGGGGAGAAGCCACAGCCAGCACTGGTAACAAACGACCGCCTCTGGAGGTTCCCACTCTTGAACGAGTTTGCGCAAAAGCGTGAGGATGTACTATTAGTTACAGTTCCCCGCAAATGCTAAAACAAATTGACTTTTGCCTGCTGTTTCCGTTTCAGGGCTTCTCTCGCTTCGTAGAAGCTCTTAGTTGGGCCCGCTTCGTAACTGTGCGCGCAATCCTCGCGCAAATGCACCGCTTTCCAGCTATGGCCGTCATCTGCTCGATTGCAGGGCTACTTGGCTCCACCAGTCCTTAGGCCAGTCCGTTGTGTTGGGCGTGGAGACTGGGCCCGTCGCCCATCTGCTGCCTGCTTCTTCGAGAGCAGGCACAGAGGTGCAAGACTTGACGAAAGGCTTCGGCCTCTCCTCCGGGCTCGCATCTGCTGATACCGGCGGCGCGGTGTCGTTTCTGTTTTCTTTTGCCCTAGATGGGCGATGTCACCTGATTGGCCCCATTCATCTGACTATGTTTGGCCCACTGGTTAATTTTCTCTTTTGGGGGGCAGCGCTACGTCGTGGGCGCGTTTGTTTCGCTGCGCTACGGATTCTTTCAGCGGGATGCAGCGTGGAGTGCCCTTGTGCCAGGCCTCCAGGCTGGCTGTCGCTTCATTTCTTTGCCCCTCTGGCGTGGGGTAGTCTACCTCTTTTGATTTAGTAGGTAGCCCCATGCCTTCAGTGGGACACTCGGCCTACAAGCTTCATGCCAATGGTTAGACATGTATTCTACAACAGTCTCCAACCTTCGTATGCAAGACACGATTGCCGGCACCTCTTCATTATCCGTCTTCCTGTCAACATCCTCATCTCCACATCCACAGGTGATACAACGGCGTTTGTACTATGAAACTAGTGACGGTCACCAGCACGCCATCCAGGTTATTAAACCAACGTCAGTCGCTAGTGCCCCCAGGGACGAGGTGCATGTGGCTCGAGGTATCATTGGGATGTGTCGACATTCGATGGGGCTCCTAGAGAGCCACCCTCTTTCTGATACTGCTTTCGAGCGGCAGAATTTGGGGAGAAAACACCTCACGAGTATCTGCGCGGGTCTCCTTGAGAGAGCTCAAGGAATATGTAACGCTAAGATCGGGCCTCCGCCGGAGCGCGACATGAAGCCGCCTACATCCTCCAGTTTTTTCGAAGAGTCCTCTTCGACAAGAAACGTCACGCTTTCAGTCTTCTTAGAGGACGGTGAGCTACTAGGTATATATTTCTTCTCTAAGACACCTAGAAATATATATACTTACGAAATTCTTTCTCCTTCACCTCCTAATTCCAACTGAAAAACAAAGGGAAAATTGAAATTGTTCTGCACTTGCACTTTCTTCATTTTTTTTGAAATTTTTCACCAGATACCCAATGGATTAGCAATGGAGAGAACGATGTTCTTGGTGAGGCAGATACCCAAGCGATTGGCAATGAAGGCAAGGCTATTGGCGATGAAGGCAGGGATGCCGGTATTGCCGATGAAGGCAGGGATGCCGGTATTGGCGAGGAAGGCAGGGATGCCGGTATTGGCGATGAAGGCAAGGATGCCGATATTGGCGATGAAGGCAAGGATGCCGATTATGATTTTGGCGATAACGGCAAGGATGCCGTTATTGGGGATGACGGCAAGGCTATTGGCAATGAAGGCAAGGCTATTGGCGATGACGGCAAGGCTATTGGCGATGAAGGCAAGGCTATTGGCAATGAAGGCAAGGCTATTGGCGATGACGGCAAGGCTATTGGCGATGAAGGCAAGGCTATTGGCGATGAAGGCAAGGCTATTGGCGATGAAGGCAAGGCTATTGGCGATGAAGGCAAGGCTATTGGCGAAGATGACGGCAAGGATATTAGTCGCGATCATGTACGCAAGGATATTAGTCACGAAGAGGATGCGGTGGCTGAAGGAGTAGACTACAATATCAACATGCTAGCTGGGGAATGGTACACCTCCTACGCTGCCGGCCCCACAGAAATGATCGGAGATTTGATTTTATGGCTCGATATATACTATATTCACAACAAAGATACTCTCCAGAGATGACTCGTGGAACTAAAGATTTTCTGCTCTTGACAGATGAGATGACATGATGACTTCACAGAAGATGACAGATTCAGATGTCAGGTCAGAGAAGATGATCTCTTCACAGAAGATGACAGATTCAGATGTCAACATGTGATGTGTAGTCGCTCTCTCCCGTCATGTAATTTGTAATAGTAATCCACGACAACGAAGAACTTTTCTAACCTATGCGACGTATGGCGACGATCCTGCGGGAGCGGTCTGGAAGAATATCACGGAACATCCCACTGCGTTTGTGGTCTCTTTTATGAACACAACAACATGAAATGATCTTTATTTATGCTTATCTTATATATACAGTAGTTCTCTCTAAAAACCTCTTTTCTCGAATAGTAGATTCTTATCTTAAATACATAGTAGTTCTACTTTCTATCCTCTTCCTCTTTCCTCGAAGCTAATATTTTTAGCATCCTACGTAAGTACATGAAGAAGAAAACAACACCACGACGATCTTCATGTGGAGAAAAATTGAACTAGTGAACAATAACGTACACATGAAGCGGAAGCTAGCACTACCACACTGCTCCACGACCACGACGATGGGAAAGGTAAACGATAGAGAACTGCTACTGCTGTTTGATAGAGAAAACTACACCAGTAAAGAGAAAGAACTCGTCTATAACTATAGATACGATCCCCGTTTTCGTTTTCGACAGAGTATCTTCGAGGTCAAGAGTGGCATTTTTCTAATCAGGTGGTACTTGTACAGCTCCTCATGATGCTGCTCCACCGCTTACGTGGAGGTCGCGGAGCGCCTCCTGTAGCACACCAGGGAAAACCTGTGGAGATGAAGGAAATGAAGTTGCGGTTCGCTAAACAGAATCAATCGTCTTATGGCTAATCTTTTCAACCATAGAGCTAGAGGTAATCTTCTTTTTACCATGAGATACTAGAGATTCTTAAACCATAGAGGTAATCTTTTTATCATGAGATACTAGAGATTCAGATTGATTGTTCATTGCATCTTGACGGCCTCCTGGCATGTCAAAGTCAACCTTCTTAACCTCGTCCTGGGGATATTCTTGCCTTCTCTTAGCATATACCTGAAATGAAGCCTCTAAGCTCCCACGGCTGACGATGCTTCGAGCAGCGAGGAGGAGGAGCAAGTGCTTCTCAAGTAGGAAGGCTGGTGCTCGAGTAGGGTAGGAAAAACTCCTTGAAGATGAAGAAGAATATTGACAAATGAATTCTGATACTAGATTCGACATCACATGTGCATTATTTGATCATGGAAACGGAGGTATTTTTACATTAAGATCATGATGCGATTATCAACATGATACTACCCAGTAGAACAATCATGGCACAAGAACATATTGAAGTGAAAACCTTTCTCATTCTCAATTCTGCTTTCCAAAATTTTTAGCTACCCTTGAGGGAAAACCTAGCTACTTTCGTTCTTAGCTATTTAAGTTTAAACTAGTTAGGCTTGTGGCAAGGGGACGGCAGCAGCAGCAGCTTCAACCGCTGGGATCGATCTGGCAGGATCTTCCGATCCCTGTCTTGGACAGGACCTGAAACCTTGAGTGTGCAGGTAAGTCGTCAAGTATTGTCGTTCCAACACGTCTGCGGCACCAGGTGGCCACAACATAGGTCTGCTGCCGTCCCCTTGCCACAAGCCTAACTAGTTTATTAAACTTAAATAGCTAGGTTTTCTCTTAAGAGTAGCTATAATTTTTGGAAAGTAGAATTGAGAATGAGAAAGGTTTTCACTTCAATACAACAGATGCGACTTAAGGGTGTTAGTTGTGATCAATGCTACATAACCATAACTGATGTAAAGCCCGACCCACTCCCGTGGGTACTATTAGTTGTTTTTTTTTATCGACGATATGAAAAAATTTCCAAGACGAAAACGAGTCCGGATGTGTCCTGAAAGGATTTGACGTCTTCATGCTTACACTTTCTCTTTCAACATTCTTACTTTGAGAATGACATCTCCTCCACTTTAAGAGTGACATCATGTAGAAAATGTCAACATGTATTTACAATTTCATCATACCGAAAAGTTCAGATTTTTGGTTCTTTGATTGCGGCAAGAGTAACTCATTCTCGTCCCCACCTCCCACTCCCCTCCCAAGGAAAAGACTGATGAGAAACAAAATAAAGAGGTTATTATTTATTATTCTTTTCCTCGAAAGACGAAGGTGCGTTTGGAAAACTTTATTAAAGTCTACGTTGTCCCCATCATGCCTTTGCCCCCTTGAAATTTTGTACCCTAAAATTGAAATTGACGGGTCCGCCGATGACGATGCCGCGATGTTCTTCATCTTCTGTCGTGTTCCACCTTCTCTTTCGGATGTCCATTGGATGATGACCCGTTCTGAATCCCTGTGTCTAAGTCTACGCTGCTGATCTTCTTGATCCGTGTAGTCTTCAGGAACTATAGATATAATAAAGTGGTAATCGTAATCGAAAGTAACTAGAAGTAAGGGTGTGCGGCTGTTTTGACAAGTCATCAAGTATGTGCATTTGACAGGAGGAATGATCATGATAAATTGCCGAGGATGGGAATAATGATCACTTGTTCTTTATGTTTGTGCTGTGTCTAGAACTTTCATCACTTTTTTCAGAACGAATAGGTGCACAGACTCGTTGTTCCTCCAATATTTTCGCGATAATAAACAGAAGTCCTTGTTTCCTTGAGTGAACATCTTTGGTACTTCCTAGATCTACAGTTGTCGTGAAAAAAAAACATGAGCGGTCTTACTGGCTTACTCGCTGCGACCGGAGGTGATCCGTCGGATGGGGCATTCCTTCTATCCATGGCGGAACAAAGCACTAAGAGTTTATGAGCATCATACTTGTATCGATGAAGTGACTCTTGCCTCCTGCAGCTCTTACTTAGCTCCAAGAACGACCACAGAAAAAAGATACTTGTTGTGATAGATTTAATATTCAACAAAGTTGTTTTTGCAGTGAGAGTCACGTTCTTCGGTTTTTCTGTTTCTTGTCTACTTTCATCCTCTGTTTCTCCCCGTCCCCCCTCCATACAACTACAAGGCTTTCCACCTCTCCCCCTTTCATCCCTCCCTCCACCTCCTCCCGCATCTGCCACTGCGCCGTCTGCCGCGCCAACTAGGACAGGGCCTTCAGAGTCAAGTGTTGCATTGCAAGCTGGGCAAAAAGTTAAGGCTCATAGTTTAGATTGGAGTCACTGAGATCGAAGACGCGACCCCTTGAGAGAACAGGGGAAAACGAAGGGAAAGGGGAGAACTTTGGAGGGGACCTCTTCCGTTCAGAGTCAGTGACCAATGAATGCTGAGCTTTAAAAAAGATCTGCAAAATCAAGTCGACTCTCTTGCCGACCGCTTCTCCCTAGCGGCTGGCCCGGTTCAAAGGAAGGGAGTAGAATGCTCGTTGAATTATGCTGGAGAATTTGAAAATTATCTTATTAGCTGAGTATCGATATTGAGGATGAAATAAGCATCGAGGATGTGCATTCTTAAGTTTAGTTTTGTTGAAACATATTGATTTTCTTAGTGTAGGTTTTCTCATGAATCTTCATGTCACTGAGTTCCTACTATATTACCACTTACATCCAAGCACTCTCTAATCTCCATGTTTCGACACACATGGGGAAAAATACAAGGACTATAAGGACATAGGCGCTTGTGTTCAGAAATGTCAGAAGCCGTTTGAAGAGTTAAGCGCGGCAACAGACAGGGAGTTTCAAGGTGCTTAGATTGTCTACCTTAGTTGTATAGGTTCAAGTTCATCCTAGAACTATGTATAATATTCCTTGAACTATAATATTAATAATGCTGGGCTTTGCTCCGACGCGGAGTCCAGAGTTGTCATACACTAAATGCTGGGATTGGGACGTGTCTCAACTGCTCAAGCTCTCAAGCAAAGTATTTTTTCCTCCAGGCCTCCAACGCTTTGTCAGCAAAGTTGTCCGGACGATTTGGCTTTTAGGTGATTGAGTTTTTTTAAGTTAACTAGTGACGATGGACCGAGGGATATTGATGTTATCGCTTTCTCATACTTGTGACGTTGATTGTAGGCTTGGTGTACTAGTAGAGTAGTTCTATCGTAGTGACCTCAAGATGAGCATGCTATTACTTTCGAATACTTCGACCAGGACCAGAAATGCGAAGAAGGAACTAGGTAGCTCTAACTCAAGCATATCGAACCGTGGCGAATTATTTGGAAAGTTGATGAGGGACATGCTAGACCAGCTTTTTCATCTAGGAGAAGGCGTGGCGAAGGAACACGTTGTTCAGCCTGGGGCCGCATTTATGAAACAAAGGAAATACTTAGTCACATATTCTTATTCAGGGCTTGGAATAACTGCACATTGTTCTTAACGATCTGACCCCGACCCGTATAGAGCACTCGTTGTCTCACAGATCCATCCATGACTCACATTTCAAGATACTCGGCGTCGAGGATCCACATCTACATCTAGGCAGTCGTCCAATATGATGTTGTTTCAAGAGCCATGTATAACGTATTTTGAGATTGAGTATCTTCCATATTTTTATTCATCGAGGATTTATTTGCTTTCATTATACTAGCCACAGCGGTACCGGTTGGTCTACCTCCTTGCATCGATACCAGTCTCGTCAGGTCAACGCTGCCTGCTGTTATCATCTCTACCTTTCTTCACACTCGATGGGAGCTGTTACCGCATAGTGAAGCTTTTGCAGCAGACACATTAAGCTATAGGATTCGCCTCTTCGAAGAGAATCTTACTCATCACGGATAGAAGTGACATAGCGGTCCCGAGGGGGTCGAGCGCGACACGACTGTGGTATTTTTTGACTTTGATGACAAGAAATAGACGATGAAAGAAGTCCGTGCTCGTGGTTGTAGCGATCTCTGTACTAAGTTGTCGTTGCGTTTAAAGAAGGATCACGTGGTAGAGTACTCACTCTTTTACTACACGACGTGTACTACGTTAATAGATAGCGACGAAGATGAAGATGTTCATGATTAATTCAAAAGTCCTCGTACAACTCATGTAGTTGACTAGCGCTAGTCTTGGGGTTCTTGTACAAATAATACCTAGAAGAAGCTACAACGTGACGTCAACAAGAGTAACGTCTAGATTTCTTGCCGCAAAAATGAAACTACTTAGCTACAACGCCATTTCTTCTTAGGTTGCCAACGACGGACCTAAGTAATCGTGTTAAAACTGGTGCAACGATTGGTTGAATCACTTCGGATGATACAATTGTCATTTGACAAAAGATATAAAACGTGTGGTGTCAGACTTCTCCTTCTTGTGCTGGTAAGAGCAGAAAAAGACGCAGGAAACGGGAAAACCGATGTGACCGCCACTGACGACTTTTCAAATCGGTTATGCGGAATAGCAGAGTCTCCGGATAACGATATGTCATCAGACGCAATTATGGGCACAGCGGGTTACATTATTCAACCTCACATACTTGAAGGGTAGACGTAGCTTTAGTCGTAGTACCAACTCCAACTCCGAACCCGAAGATTATCATAAATATCTTCATCCCGTAACAGTTTTAGTATGTTGAATCAGAATTATTTGATTTACCTTCCCCGTACCTTCAATGGTCTTTCTATTTTTGGTACTCACAGACTCACTGTATGAATCTCTAATTACTGGAGCCGACACGAAATAAAGCGACCAACATGGCACTTGAGAAAATCCAGAACTACAAACGGTTTACAGTTACACCAACATCAGAAATAAGCAATTCGATGCGGGACAAGTTAAGAAACGAGATATTCTGAAATCCACGTCCACACTCATCAGGGATTTTTTTTGCCAGGATGATTGATTCTCGTGTCGTATAAACGTAATTGTTGTATGCTATTGATTATGTTGAAAGAGAACATCTTCGCATGATCTTCATGTATCTGATATTTAAGTTACACTCCAAGCATTCCGTTACTTGTTGAGAATCTTTTTCCGTAGCCATGCAAAATGGCTGGTGCAGCTCTCATTTCTATGGGGGCTTTCTCAAGAATATTCTGAAATCCGCGTCCACACTCATCAAGAATAGGTTTTTGATTTTTTTAGGTTAACATCATTTGACTTGTCATTTTTATCTTTATCGTGTGAATTTGTAGTAGCGTTTTGCTGTAGTTGAGAGTGTTGAGGACAGTCAGTGTATACCGTAATTCTTCTAATCTTCATCAGCGAAGTACAAGTAAAACCCGGAACTCCAGAACCCATGGATATTTTCAAGACGATTGATTTTAGGTATCCCTTGTCCTCCTAGTCGTCCAAATTCACGCTCATTTTAGGTAGTGCAGCATCTGAACAAGCTGCGTCAAGCATGTGTATGCACTTTTTCTCTATCAAGCATGTGTATGCACTTTTTGAAAGCGGGCCTCCCCTTGGGCCTCTCAGCGTATTCCTGAGGGGCCTCCTGGCCTCTGCTGAACCTCGCAGGCGGGAGGTCTTCGGGGTAAAAGGCCGCCGAAGGCGGCCACGGTCGCAAGAGCAAGCAAGCCGATGACCAAGGCCCCGGAGGGTACAGGCGGCGCGGCTGCGGCGGCGAAGCCTAACGGATGCACTTAGGGCACAAGCAGGCGCCTGGACGGGGGCGCAGGCGGTCCCTTGGGCCCCTTTTGAAGCCTCCCACCACCATCGGAGGCCCCTAGGGAACAGCCAGGCAGCTGGAAGGGAGCGGGGGGGGAGGTCACTGGGCCCCCTTTTGAGGCCTTCCCCCCCGGGCAGACGCCTTAAAAACGGGCCCAGGGCGCCCGGCCCCCCCCCGCTACGCTAGCTGATGAAGTAAAGCTGGGGCTAAGGGTGGCCTTCGTCTTTTGAGTAGAGGATCTTCAAACTCATCCGCAAATAGAAGCAAACGCAGTGGACAGAGCGCAGGACGTGACCGTGGAAACACAACAAAAACAAAAAGCATGTCTGTGTGTCTTCGATATGCTTTTGGGCCAAAATCCCGAGAACTTGGAACTATCTCTGCAATATGTGATCGCAAAGCTACTGCTGAGGCGGGCGACAGATGAAATCAATATCAAAGGCGGCTCAAAAAGATGGAGTCGGCATCGGCAACCTCCTTGCGTGAGCAATTGCTCGTGAGCAATTGCTATACTATCTTCATTATATGTATAAAAATCTTTTTTAGTTAGTGTTGGCTATACTATTATCATATAATCTTTTTTACTTAGTGTTAGTGTAGAATCACGAAACCGACGGTTAGTCTAGGTAGAAGCGTCAGAGAGCTCCAGTTGATGGGGCATCTATTTGGAAGCATCGCCATTACAGTAAATGAGAAGTCTTGAATGATAAGTTAGATACTGACTCCTTCTTGATTGCATGAGCTACTTTTTGCAGGAAAGCAGGACTACACATAATGACGAAGTGTTACGCTAATCTGTTACAAGCAAGATGAGGAATGTGAATTGACAATAAATGTGATCCTCTTAGTATGGGACGGATACGAGGTGTATGTAGAATGCGCGCAGAGTAATATCCTCGTACACATGGACCGTCTTAAGCTAAAGTAACGAGTCAGCACGTGGCCTGGCAGTCACTCTTCTAGTCCAGGGTAGAAGATATTAATGTGTTCTGAGTCTCGTCATGCGCATTTACGCACAACTTCCAGAAAACGGAGAAGGAAACTTGATGACTCTACGCCAATGAGTCAGTACCTGATCTTTCTAGAACTCCGCTGGAACTCCGAAGAGCCTCAAGGATCCCTTCTTCTTGTGTGTCTCTTTTGTAATGCGTGAGAGTGGTGTGGCAGATGAGTGGCAGTGCAGAGCGTGACTGTGATGATAGACGAGTAGACTCATTCGTATCCAGATCATTTTGATTACAAGGCTCTTGCGATAGAAGCAAGAACATTCGTTTGATAGGCATGATTACATGTAGCTTGTAGAGGAACATTAACATCTTTATTTTAATTATCATGAAATAAGAACTCTCACACGGCCTGTTTCGTGCCGGACAACACAGCATGGCCGTAGAGCCGCGGACCTTCAACCTTGAACCTTGAACCTCACACTGCCATTAACAAGATGACACCTGGTGGAAAAAACCAAGGTCCAGAAGCTGGGGCCTCGATGGCAGCTGGAGCAAAAAATGGTCCTCTAGATTCGGTCCCCGCTGAAGAAAGTAGCGGTACCTCCACCACCGCTGATTCTCCAAGAGGAAGTTCTTCTGGAAGTCTTTCAAGAACTGCTTCAGATGCCTCTCTTTTATCATCTTCTTCCTCCGTTACCGTTGCTGACGAGGTAGGTGACATGATGAAGCTAGGAGGCGTCTGTCCTGTGCCGCCTACTGGTGCAGGAACGTTCCTTGATAAGCTTCAAACCAAGTGGGGTCTTGAAAACGATGGCCCTTCTCTTCAGAAAATATTCGAGTCTCACTATAGTGAACGCTGTCGTTGGAGAATACTCAACAACATCTTGAGTACAACATCTTAGGGCTGATGATAATTCATTTTCAATACGGCAGGCAGTCTCAGCCTCAGGCCGTTCTCTCCTTTCTCTCTCTCTCTGCTTCATGCGTTAAACCTTCTGTTATATACTTATCTCACGCTTAATCCGTCACTTTTACGGCAGGCATTCTCAGGCTGCTCAGTCTGATGGCAGCCTTTTCTTCTCAGGAGAGCTCATTCTGAGACCATCAACTCCGTAGAAAGTTCCTGTAGTTGGCTTTTGGAGGATGTGGAATTCTCAGTCATCATAATATTCTATGTGATGCTAGCGCTAAACATCCTCTGGAAAGCCTGGTGAGCTCAACGTGCCTTGGAAGGACGGCCGTGACACACTCCTCGCCAGGACAGCTTATCATATTACAAAATATCCGAAACCAGATGAAGGAGGCGGTAATCAATTTCGAGATTTGCTGAAGGATATGCTGAGCCAATACCTATTTCCGCTGGTCACGGGCGTGGTGGAGGACAGGTGGAAAAAATTGCCACCAGAATTAAGGCCAGAATTTCATTATCTTGTGTGGTCTATCCGAAGTGGGTTCCCTCTAGGAGTCACGGGCAGCCCAGAAACAGAAAGGGACGAGTAGAAAAACAAGCCACAAAACCACAGAGGGGTTTTAAAAGATTTGCTCTTCAGAAAGATGAGAAGGAAAAAAGACGAAGCACTAATTAAGTTAGATGTCGCTCAGCGTCAAAAGATACCTCCAGAACAGGTAAATGAATGAATGAATGATATAGATACTATCGGCGCTAAAACTAGGTCAAGGCGCATCGCAACTACAACCAAACGATGTTCCCTGGGTGAAGGACACACTTGAAACTGTCGTCATTGGCTTCCTCCAACATCAGTGGGAGCTGTTACCTAAGGTGAAAATAGCAGATCGTGGTGGAAACCTTTCGGATTTGGATAAGTTAAACCCCGAGAGCACATTTGCCTGCGAATACGTCAAGGCTATGATGGCGGCAGGGCCTAACGTTGAGGTGCCCGACATCAACTTGTTCGAAGGTGTTTGCGAAAAACAAAGTACTCAGGTACTGTCTATCTTTATTGACTCGAGGAGACGAACATACAAACTTGAAATATAATTGTTGAAAATATTAATAGCAGTTGTTGAAAAAATATTTTTTGTAATCATGCTTTATAGATAACTGAGTTCTCTGCAAGAGGCGTCTCCATGTCTTAAAAGTCAGGTTGTCGGCGGGCAGTGGCCATTGTTCGTAGCCAAGAAGGTGGTGTCTTCAGAAGGATACAGCAGGTTGCCACAAATAGTCATTGACGCCTGCAGAGACTCCTTGCGGGCCTACCTCTCGGGAGTCGTATCCGATCGCACCGAAGGCAATATCAGACTGGTAATCGCATATTTTGCTACTTTGTTACATGGGTGAATATCTGGGCTGTATATGAAGAAAGAAATTCCAATTATGTTTATGATTTTTTACAAGTAAAACAAGAACATCAAGCAAAGTAGAAACATGATGATCGAATTCGAAATTAGTACAGGTCTATTGAGCTCGCATAAAATGAATATGAACCCTCAAAAATGGCTGTTATTTTTAAAAACAATCGTTGACTCTTGCAGGTGAAAGCCGCCGGAGAGGACTTCTTCCGTGAAGTTACTATCGGCGACAGCATGCTGGATAATTTGTGTACAGCAGACGACTTCTCACTGGCATTCAATGCTATTGACTTTTCTGGTGTGCTCCAAAAGGCGACGATGTTAGAGGCAGTCCTGAATCCCAAATTCGTGGGAAGGTTAAGGCTACAACCGTCAAGATGAACTATGCCTCGATAGAAAGATATTTAGTCAAGGTCATCATGAACATGGACAAGGAGATGCCTGGGCATTTTCTCTGAGTGTTGGGAATCACGGAAATTAACATGTAGCATGTAGTTGATGCGAGCCCATTTTTCTAATATTTATACAATTACACTACTCGCCCTAGAGTAGGTCATCTAAGCAAGAGCAAGACGAATATCCATAAGCATTTCTAAAGAAAAAGCAGCTGCAGCTCAAAGTACAAGGATCAGAAATAAGCTGTTCCGCGTTTGCTACCGATCGCCTCGAGGGCCTCCAAAAGTGGGGATTACCAAGTGCTGAAGGTCAACTTTCTCTTACGACATTGTTTGGGAAGCTACCTAGCCACGAGCTACCAGGAGGCATCGAGTCATCAGCAAGAGTTTGCCAGCTAGCAGTGTTCAACAACATTTTCAGCGACGCTCCTCCTTCTGACGCCCTTTGGCGAGAAGGCCGTGACACACTTCTCGGCAGGGCGGCCTATCACGCTTTAGGCGGCCTCCCTGTTCCGGAACCAGGAGAAGACGGAGGTGAACAATTTGAACACTTGCTGAACTCGATGCTTGACGAGCTTTTCTCTGTCGTCATGAGTAGTATTAAGGCTCAGCTTTCAATGGTCATTGGGGTTGGTCACTGTGATCCCTCTTGAGGAAAGATGGGGGGGAAAATGAAGGAAAAGCAAAGGGAGAGGCATGGGGCCCATTTCTTTCAGCATCAGTGACCGATGAATGCTGAGCTTTAAGAGTAGTAGTCCTCTCTTGCAGGAAAAGCAAAACGGTCTGGCACTGGGGACTCCGGTTTTCACGAAAGACGTCGTCGCGGCCGTAAAGAAATCGGTGGAGACTGTTATCTCACATTTTCTCGCAAAGGAGTGGAAGTTGATACCGGAAATACATGTATCCGATCGTGCTGGAACCAAAGGCGCAGCTGTGAAGAGCGGAAGCATCTTCGCATGCAAGTACCTGGAGGCCGTGCTGGATAAGTCCGCAGATGAAGTGGATCTCGTGAACTCTTGCGAAGGGCAGACGACGTCGGTACTGTTTTTTGAAGAAAACTTTTTTTCAGCGGAAGAGTGGCATCAATTTTCCCATCTTATTATCATTAGGCATGTCATACATAAGGATAAAGATAGTGATAGCAGTGGAACAACAACAGCTAGATTTGTAAGTAATCAGTTCTGAACTTCAAGGTCACAGGGTACATTTATGTGCGAGCAACGTCGCATCTCTTCAACTTCATACATAATCGAATGTTTTTCCTACCCCTCTGTAAATAGAATAGTATAGATGAAGAATTAAGCAAGACGTAGAAGAAGTTCTCCCTGAAGTATAAGTGCAATTTTTTTCAGGTTGGCGACAATGCGGCTAAGTGGGTTGGATTTCTGGACACGCCTCAGAAAGGACTCAACCAGTTGCAAACAATAGTCGCCGGCGCTTGCAAGAAATCGGTGGCCGAATATTTGAAGAGAGTGATTTCCAGACGCACGAGCGGCGCAGTCGGCGTACTTATTTCTTCTTAATACTGAAATAGTCTCGATTTAGTACAAGATGAACAGGATCGATGGATTTATTGCATCGCCATCGCTCCACAGAAACCATCATCTCCACGATTAGTACCTCTGTCCTGAATTAGCGTGTGTGTGGAAGCGTTTGTATTTGCCACATTTCTAAGTAGTTTGCCATAGTCTAGAAACTTAATCTGTTTTTGAGTTCTTGCAGATTTCGTGATAATGAAAAACAAACAATGATGTTACACGATTTTTTTATTTTTGTTTCATTCTTGAGACATTGTAAGATACATAATGACTTTTTTTCTCATGAAGAGAGAGAGTTTCTTGAATTCTAAGGCCAATGAAATTATTCATCGATCATCTACTTCTGCACCAGGTGACACTCGACAGTAGTGGCTCAAAACATGAGCACTCAGTGACCATTACGGATCACAGTTTGGGTGTGTTGTGCACTGGCGCTTTTTCATCACATGGACTCGACTTTATTGAAAGCTGGCTCACAGGGGCGGAAAGAATGCGGGGGCTTAGTATGGTGGCGCAAGTCAGCACTTCGCCCGCACAAAGCACAAGCTCGTTACGGCTTTCATCCACAATTTCTCAATGTTATCCCACTTATTTTAACACTTTTGTTGCCTGGTCCTGGAGCTAGATTGATGGAAACAAAGTATGATGAGCAATATCTTCAACCCCGTGTGTAAGTAATGCCTCTAAAAAAAGGTGCTTCTGCAACATTTGCAGCAGGTCCCATGGCAGCAACTGGCAGGGAGGAGAATCGCAATCGCCAAGAGATCCTCTTAAGGCGAACGGAATTAGAAGCCTCTTGACTTCGACGCAATTGATTTGTCTTATTCTTGCCACCTCCGACCTAAAGAGAACAACACTCGAGGAGTCATCATGTTGCTAAAAGATACTGAAAATGTGCCCAGAACGTGGGCCCATCAAGGGCCCGCTGGGGCATCAAAAAACATTGAAACTAGGCAGGGAGAGTGGGCGCAGTGTTCGCCAAAGCACACAAGCTGGAGGAAGGGGGTGTCGGCGCGGGCACATCCATCTGCAGAAGCTGGATCCTTTTGGGCGTGATCGTGTCCATGTGGTGAATAAGCGAAGCCACCTCCATACCAAAGGGCAGAGGGAGCGCGCCGAGCACCCATGAGAGGGCCGCGCTTACTTGAGCACACCCACGGGCATAAGCTGGGCCCTTTTGTGCCTGATCATGCCCATGCGAAGAATAAGCGAGACCATACCCATGAGCGGCATCATGTCCATGACAGACCAGGACCACACTCAAGCACATCCGTACGCAGAAGCCGGACGCTTTTGGGCATGATCGTGCCCATGTGAAGTAAGAGAAGGCGAGGCCATCCCCTCCCCATGCCAAAGGGCTGAGCTTGTTGAGCGTCATCAGGCTCCTGAGAAGGCTGCGCCGGCTTGGGCGTATCTATGTCCAGAAGTAAGCTGGGCGCTTTCGGGCGTGGTTATGTCCATGTGAAGAATAAGCGAGGCCACCACCATGCCAAAGGGCAGAGGCAGCCGAGCACCACCAGGCCCATGAGAGGGCCAAGCCCAGGCTTGAGAGCATCCATGGGCCGAAAGTGGACCCTGTTGGGCGTGGTCGTGGGCGTCCGTCGGAGGAATAAGGGAAACCGCCTCCATGTCAAAGGATGGAGCTTGTTGAGCGTCATCAGGTTCATGAGAAGGCCACACCTGGGCACGCCAGCAATGTGCAGAGGCTGAGCCCTTTTGGGCATGATCTTGGCCATCTGAGGAATACGCGAGGCCACCCCCATGCCAGAAAGCGGGCATAGTTTGCTGAGCATCATCAGGCCCATCAGAGGGCTGCACCTGACTGCAGTGCAAGCATCCATGTGCAGGGGCTGGACCCTTTTGGGCATGAAGATCATGCCCGCCCCGTCGGATCTGGAGAAAAAGCGAGGCCATCGCCGTGCCGGATGAGCATCAACGAACACCAGGCCCATGCGAAGACTGCACCCTCGAAAATATCGCCCATGCGCAGGCGTTGGAGCTTTTTGGGCATGATCGTGCTCATCAGTCTGAAGAATAAGCGGGACCGCATCCACGTCAGAGGGCTGAGCTTGTTGAGCGTCATCAGGTCCATGAGGAGGCCACATGGAGGCACGCCCATGCGCAGAAGTTTGACCCTTTTGCGCGCGATCGTGTCCGCCTGCAGAATGAGCGAGGCCACCCCCATGCCAAAGGGCGGAGCTTGCTGAGCATCATCAGACCAGGCCCATGCTGAGGAGGCCCCACTTAAGCACGCGACCCATACGCGACAGCTGGGCTTATCAATCTTGATGGGCACGATCGTGCCCATCTGAAGAACTGGCGAGGCCGTCTCCATGTCAAAGAGAGGGCGGAGCTTGCTGAGCGTCATCAGGTCCATGAGATGGCCACGCCCCGCGTGCAGAAGTTAGGGCTTTTTGAGTGGGGTCATGTCCGTGGGAAGAATAGGCCAGGGGGGGGCGTCTTCGTGTGCATCCGGGGAATGTGGGGGGCTCTCTCCATTTCAAAGGGTAGAGCTTGCGGAGCATCGTCAGGCTTCTGAGAAAGCCACGCTTGAGCATATCCAAACCCATGCGCGGGAGGTGGGTGCTTGCTTTTTGGGCTAGGTCGTGTCCGTCTGAAGAATAGTGGAGGCCATCAGCATGCCAAAGGGTAGAGCGTGCAGAGCGTCATCAGGCTCCTGATAAGACGGCCGCGCCAGCCTGGGCACACCATGCGCAGGGGTTGGACCCTTTTGGGCAGGGTCGTGCCAATCTGCAGAACTACAACACAAAGGCACCCGATGGGGGCACTGTGATGATTTGAAACGAGAAGGGTGGCGCGCTTTCTCTCAATTTTTTCAAAATGAGCAAAAAAGCAAGCACAAGACACTGACACAGCAGAAAAGCGAGAGGAAAGCGCTGGGCTGGCAACTTCGTGAGGGGTGGGCAACGGAGCGCGGAGCCCGTGGACAAGGAAGGAAACCAAGAGAAGGCGCGGCGGCTAGTAGCACCAGGCGAATTTTTTAGGGGGCGGCAGCCGGTCAACATCCTCGCGCAGCCGCCCAGCGGACGGCCGGGCGGCTGCTGCTGTGCTGTCTTCCATGAAATCTGCCTTGTTCTTGTTCGTCATATTGTTGGAGCCGTGAGCTTCGAGGAATTATTATCCAAAAACATTCCCAAAAAATTTGCAATCGTTTGGCGCTGTGGGTTGCTTGTGTGGGTATCTCTTCGGCAGGTTTGGGCGGGTATTTCTGCAAGAGCTCAGGCGCTTGCTTGGTGGCGTAGTTGTCTGCTGGGATGATCGGGGGCCGCAGATGGTTGGGGTGGGCCTTTGGATCGGAGCGGGGTGCTGGTGGTCGAGCTCGGTGGCAGAGAGGTGCGCTGGGGGCTCGGTGGGTTAAGGCTAAGGGCAGTCGGGGCGACAGGTTTAGGGTTTGGCGGTGTCGCTGCTTAGCTTTCTGGCCTCTTGGGGACTCGCGTGCCCGATTCTTACCCAAGGGGCCACGCAGGGGCCTGCGGGGTGCCTTCGTGGGCGTCTCGGTGGGCCCTTTTTTAGCAAAATAAATTATTCTGGAAGAATATAGCCGCATAAGATGGCAAAAAGTAAACTATTCTGGAACTTTCTAGGGATTTTGTTTCTAGAAATTTTCTAGAACTAACTTACTTTGGCTATGATAGTAATTTCTTCGAAAATTATTTCCATTCCTGGGCCCACAGGGGGAGGGGGTGGACGGGAGCGAGGGGGGGCGCGGTGGTCTCGAGGTGTGGGCCCTTTTGTCTTTCCCCCCGTGGGGCTCCGGAAGATGGCTGGAGGGCAAGAGCTGGCTGATGGATTGCAGGCTCTGCGGCAGGCGCTCGGCTTTTGTTCGGGTCGTTGATTGCTCAGGGGTTCGCCGTTTCGGCATTGTCTCCGCCTCTCGGTGCCTCTGGGTGTGTGAGTCTTCTGGGGTGGTTGGTTGTGCATTCGGCTGGGCTTGGGTCTTGGGTTTTCAAATTTTTGCGGAATTTTTCGAAAGTTGTAACTACCAGCCGGCCCTGGGCTCCAAATATTGCCGCTGCCTCTCGACGGGGTCGCCGCTCGCCTCGATTTTTAGCTTCTTGACGACTGTGAGGGCAGGTGGGCAGGCTACTCTTGAGGCAGAAACGAGGCCAGCTCCGCCCGCCGGCGATTTTTGCCGTTGTTGGTAAGGCTTTCCGCGTCTTCTCTTGTTGTTGTTCTTTCGGCACCTTCGCCCTCTACTTCTAGTCTGCAGCCTGTTGCCCTTCGGTCCAGTACTAGTCTTGGCGCCACTACCTAGCATCACAACTCGAAGCAGGCGAGGCGAGCAAGTAGCTGGCGGCTGTGTGCTAGTGTGTATTTCTATGAGGGGGGGGCCTCTAGTAGTAAGCCGCTGCTGCTCTTCGTCTTGTTTTCGTCTTCTTCTTTTACACGATGAGGCACTTGCGCTGCTGCTATTTCTTCTACCAAGCCGCGCCAGTGCTCGGACTGGCGTAGGTGGTGCAGCTCGTCTACCTCCATGCGGCTGCTCGTCTCTTGCAGCGTCTTCTACTCAGTTCTACAGAAAGCCTGACCTAGATGACGAAGAGCAAGGCACCCCGGAGGGCCTTGACCATATCCAGCGAGCGCTCGCGTTTTGTGTGGTTATGTGTAGAAGTGTTACAGTGTTGGCCATGCTCTGAGCCTTTGAAAATGTATGAAGACCCACAAAGGCCCAAAGGATGAAGCAAGGCCATCAAAATGACCAAGGCCGCCAGGCGAATAAAGTAACCCATCGGCGCCATTCTCAACGCGTTGGCCGTAGTTGGCGCGGGTGCGTGTCGGAGGTTCTCAGGCCTCTAGCAAACTCATCCGGAGGACCATCCAAGCGCCTGGCTGGTTTGCCGTTGCGCGGGTGCCTTCAGGCTTCTCTTCTCTCTCGTTCGTTGTTTCAAATCTCTCAGCCTTGTCAAGGACAAAGCACCACCGGAAAGACCCCAGGGGAAGCCTCTAGACCTAAAGGCGTGCGGGTTCAAGATAAATGGCCAACAGGCGTAGAGCCTTCAGCGTTTTCAGATCGAGGAGGTAGCGCGTGCGCATAGCTGTAGCCGGGTCCGCATCGTTTTGCCAGTCCGCACCGGTTCGAACTGCGTGAAGGCTGTGGCGCTCCCCCGTGGGGTGGTGGGTTCGTCCGTAGGGTCTGGGGCATGTCCATCCAGTGAGGTCACTCAGATCCAGACGGGTACCAACATAGGCGACCGCATGAAGCTGATGACAATGCATAACCTAAGGGCCCCCATGTGGGCACGTGTTGAGGCGTCTCCCATCATGATACCCCCGAGAAGAAGCAGAGACCCCCCCGCAGCCCAAAGGAATCCCAACAGTGAGAAAACCGGCCAGAGATCATCAGTGAGCCTCAGGCTGTAGGCTCAGTTCGCATTAAGCTAGCGCGTCGCCCATTGTTTCTCAGCGAGGGACTGCGCCTGGCTTATCGGTCTGCTATCTTGTAGCCCAAAACGCAAGCTGTAGCCCTACCTTTCGAGAAGCTCGCTCCCATTAGAGAAGTCAACCGCGGAACTTGTAGAGGCAGACGAAGCGGCAGGCCCTACGCTTGCGCTATGTGACTTGAGTGAAGCCGTTGACCGAGCAAGTAGGGCTTGGGACTTTCTGGTGAGCCCCGTTCTGGGGCGGGGGTACTGTCGACAGCGCTCGTTTTCTTTTCTGAGGATGTCGTCTAGCCTCGTGGCTAGACTGTTGCTTGTTTGTCTCTGGTCTGGTCTCGGGCCGGCGACGGCGTCAGCATCTACCTCGGGGCATATGCATCGCCTTCCGCCTGTTTCTTAGGTTGTTGCCTTTCGCAGCGCCTATTTTTTTCGCGTCGATTAGTTTCCACCTTAGGCAGCTGCCCTTCGGAACATCTAGGCTAACTTTCGTTTCGTTAGTTTTCTCGATCTTGGGCTGTTAGTTGCCCTCGCGGCGTCTATTTCTGACTCTGCCAGTAGCCTTAGGGCTGTTGCCTTCGCTGCGCCCATTGTGTTGGCAGTTTCCGTAGGCTGTTGCCTTCCGCAGCATCTAACTTCGCTTCCATTAGTGGCCCCTAGCCTGGGCTGTTGCCTTTCGCAGCGTCTAAACCTACCGCTAGTCGCGTCCCTATAGGTTGTTGTTTTTTGCAGTGTCTGTTCTCTCAATAATTTATAAACTGTGTGCTCGTTGGTTGCTTGACTCTTCGGCGTCAGCGCCGCTACCTATATCGCAGCCTCTCTAGTCATTTCCGTTCTTTGAGTGGGCTGCCTGCTTGGTTTTGGGTCCTTCCGGACGACACTAAACCAGCACCAGCACCGAAAGCAATGGAATGGGACCACCCCGCTACCGATTAGGGACACAGCTGAAGACCATCAGACGCATCAAGCTCAGGAGCCGCATCAACGCCAACACGATCACGAGCGAGACCAGCTAGCACGAGAATGAACACGAGCAAGGCCGCCGCTGATAAAATATCTAGAGTTCGCCTGGTCTGCTTTCTTTTCTGTTCTGACTGTTTTGAGGTTGTTGCTCGCCGGGCATGTAGTGGGGGCATATAGCTTGGGCTGGTTCGTGTTCTGTTGTCGTATTTGGTCTGTTGTTCTTTGAGTTGGTTAACTTGGACCATTTTCATCATTTTCATCCTCGCTAACGCCATCCGCCATCGATAGGCGTGCGCCTTTGACGGATAGCGAACGCAACACACTAAAGAGGACACTGGCGACCGCACTGAAAACAACAGCCCACGAACCAAGAACCTCCAGGCGTCAAGGTTCGACAGGTTTAAGGATTTGCGTACGCATTTCATACAAAGAGGGCGGTAAGCCTCTTCCCACGCTTTTCAAGCGTTTCCGGCTCTGATTTGTTTAAGTGTTTACAAGGAGGGGCAAGCTGTGGGGGATCATGCTGGAGCCAGGCGCGCCGGCAGGATTTTCTGAGAGGGTGAGGAACGAACCTACACAAGGAGAAGGAGGCGCGAGTGGTGTCGCAGTGGGGAAAACGCCGAGCAGAAGAGACAGCGACTGGCCTTGGAGTGTGCCAGGGCAGGGGCCGCCGGTGTCCCCGCCTCTATCTCTTCACCGTCTACACACTAGCGACGGGCGAAGAAATCGCGCGAAGACTAGAGGGGGAAGGCCTGAGGGGTGTAGAAGTGACCGGACCAGCGAAGGCGACTGAAGAACCGCAAAGAGGCTGGGCTGGCAGAATAGCCGGCGCAAATGGGAACGAACCAAGGAGGAAGAAGCGCGGCAACCCGGCCCCCGAAGAGAGGCAGCCGCGCAGGGGGGTGCTCTGTCTTGGAGCGTCCCGGCGTGCGTGGGGCTGATAGAGGCACGGCCAGGGCTTTCAGCCTCACCACCTACGCGGATGGCGCAAGCATATGGGGACACACGGTGGAGAAAACGGCCTGGGCGGTGGAGATCTTCGAAGAAGTAGGGCAAGAGTCAGTGCAGCACGATGGTGAACAAGTAGAAAACGGAGACCCCCACACGGGAGAAACTATCCCACCAAGAGGGGAGGGCTTTGCCCTAAGTGAGAGACTAGGAAGCTGCGACTTCGAATCAAAAGGGGCGGACCTGATCAAAAGGGGCGGGCGGCTTGTCGGTGGTGTTGTGAATGTCTACGGCGCCACGCGGCTGGAGGTTGCTGACCGGTTAAACAGAGCCAAGGTAGAAGGTCGCAAGGATGGCCGGCCGCTCCTAAGGGGTGAGGATACTGACCAACACGACAGGAAGACGCTGGTCGAAGCCTTGGCGGGCGCAGTTCTTGACATGTCCAAACTGTCAGACGACGGCCGGACATGGAGCAGATGCAGCAGATCCAGACCAAACCGGTCAGGGCGGTGGCGGACCTGCAGGAGGAGAAGAGACAGACTCGGAGAGACTTGGGGAAAGAAGAGAGCGGCCCTACCGCTTATGAACATGACAGAGGAAGCAACGCGCGCGGCATAGAGAATGGTGGAGAAGGAGCAGCGCCTACCGCAGGAGGAAGCAGGCAGAGGAGTCTGCCTCCCCACGGTTCGGAGCAAATGGGAACGCCTGAGGCTGTTGGAAATGGTCGACAGATACAGGGGGGAAAAGTGGGGCAGAAGGCTCGGCCTTGGGGTGGCCCTCAAGGCCAGCGAAGGGCTGGGCGTGAGGCTTTTCAGGGGGGTCAGACTAGGGGAGCGAGACAACACGGGGGCGGAGGCATGGACGAAATTCACGGAGTGACTGGCGAAATCCCTCCAAAACGGACCGGGCGGGGGTTCTATAGCATGGAGGAGCTGAGTGATGTAATAGATATAGCGCGGGGCCCAGAAAAGCTGGAAGAGGCGCCACGCGTACGGAATTGGGCGGAACGGCTGGGCGTGGCAGATGTGTGGGACCTCGTAACACGTTGCCCGCAGTCGGTCCACTGGAGGGAGCTCGGGAGCGCGGCGGTGAGAGTCTTGCGCAATGTTGGAAGATCGAGAGGGCAGGGACCAGGCGGCGCGCAAACATTTTGGCTGGGAAGGCTCTAAGAGCGCAAAGGGCTTGGCGGCGGACTCGACTTGGTAAGGACGGCAAAAAACTGGAAGGAGGGAGGGCGCGAAGGCTGTGGCTACCAGGCTGCAAGCGAAAGGGGGCGGGAATGGGGGAGGGGCTTGGGGGACATTATGGACGCCGGCGGCTTGGAGAGGCTCCCGCACTTCCAGGGAATCGACCTGGAGGGGGCGGGACTGAACTCAGAGGAGGTGAAAGAGGCGGCGCGCATAGCGCTGAACGAAAGAAAGTGACGAAGTGGCCGCGCGTAGGGAACGGCATGCACATCCAAGACAAGCAAGAGGCGGGGGAGCTCCTCAAGCTTGTGGAGGATTGGGAACACGATGAGCAGACGGGGGAAACCATTGACCAGGAGAGCCGGCGGGAGTGCCCCTGGGGGGTGAAGAAATGCCGGGGGGCACAGTCGGACACCCGCCGCGGCGGTATGTGCCAGATCGTGACGCACGGCGCGGGCCAGGCGCGCCGGGAGTCGCTTGGGTTAGAACAGGCCAAAGGGGTCAGAAGGGGCGGGAAAAGATGGGAGGCATTCCGCGGGGCCAAGCGAATGCGCTGGGGCCCGAGCCGATGACAGAGGCAAAGGCATGCCCACGCAAAGGGGAGAGGCGCAGCTGGCCGGCAGGGGCCCCGGGCAAGTGGTGCGAAGGGTGCAAAAGAATAGAAGGGGGAGAAATCTGGGCCACCCATTGCAAGGAAAGAGAAGAGAAAAGGGAAGAGAATCTTGGCAGGAAAGAGCAGGAGGAAAAGACTAAGGCCCAGAGAAAAAGACAGAGGAGAGAGGAACGGGAGGACAAGGCAGGCACGCAAAGAGGCCCAGCGCAAAGCCCAAAAAAGAGAAGAGCAAGAGACAGAGGGAAAGAGAAGAGAAGGAAAAGAGAGACCCGCGGACAAACCGCCGGAAGGACTCAGGGAAGGAGAGGAGGCAACCAAAGGAGCCTGCAGGAGCGGAAGGGGCAAAAGGAGAGAAGAGGCCGGCGAAGGAACCGCGGCAGGACCTCAGAGATAGAGAGGAGGGGGAGAGGCAGCCAAGAGAGCAGGAAGGGGAAAAGGGCAGAGCCTCCAAGAAGAAGGGGACAGAAGGGCCACCCAGCAGCCCCACAGCACTGGAAAGAAAGCAGCAAAAAGGACAAAAACAAGCGAGACGGAAAGAGAAGGAGAAGGAACGCCAGGACGGAAGTGAAAGAGAAAGGAGAGGAAGGGAGAAGGCCTGGCAAAGGGGCCGCCGGATGAAATGAGGCCAAAAAGACCACGAAGGGAACAGGACAGCAAAGGGAGAAGGCTGAAGCGAGGGGGCCGCGTAAGGGGGGGCCCCCAGATGAAGGGGGAGGCAGTGCAGGGGGGTAGGAGCAAGCAGGGCCGGCTCTCCTTGCCTCTTTGGGGTCCCCCGGAGAGGTGGCGGGCGTTGGTCTGGCCTCTCTCTGCGAGATCGAGCAGGGCAGGGGCAGCCCTTCACATTAAAGAAGGCAAGGCGGCCCTCTTAGGTAAAGCAGCTGCAGAGATGAGATGGCGCCCCGCCTTACCTGATCGTTGGGCTTGCGTCATCATCATCATCACCATAGGGGGCGGGCCACTTGATCCACGTCCAACATGTCGACTGGGGCTCCCATGAGAGGAGTTGCTGCGCTGTATTTGGCTCACCTGCTTCTTGCTGTTTTTGTTGGGTCGTTCTTAGAGGGGGCAGTCTCGGCGTTTTTGTTGTTGGAAGGCATGGCGGCTGCCTCCGTTGTGCTTCTACTGAGTAGTACTAGACGAAACGGAGCACGAGCTGCGCCATGCTTGATGTCGTTGTGGTTGCTGAGTTAGTAGAGCTAGTAAGCTGTGCTGGCAGTTGATGGTGATCGTGCAACCATAAAAATCCACTCAGAAGCCACAACACGGGGCGCAGTCTGTTTTTCTGTTTCGTGTTGGATTAAAGTAGGCGCCCCGAACGAACATCCCAAGAGGCAGGATGGAAAGACCCCAAACGAACACCCACAGGGATCAAGCCAGCCAGCGGCCACCTGTCTCAGGCTGTGCGTTCGCCTCTGAGTCAGGCTAGCGCCGTGCTGACTGTTTCACTTGTCAGCAAGAAACTGAGCCCGCTTGGCATAGCAGCTTGCGCCCTTGTGGTCCAACAGTGTGAGTCCTCTAGTCTCTGACCACTCTAATCCTAGCGAGTCAAGATGGCGAATTAATCCACCGGGGCAAGCGACAGTCAGACCGATTGGAAATACCAGAGCCAAGTGAGGAGGCTCTCGCGCTTTTCACAGGGGAGGAGTTTGATTGCCTAGCAGCCGGCAATAGAGAAGCCGTGCGTCCCTTGTTGGCGCAATGGGTAAGCGGCGAACCCAACGCTCCACCGCTAGTGTTAAGGCTCTCTCCAATTCATCTTTCAGGTGCGTCCTTGCTCTCTGAAGCGTATGGGCGTGAGGGGTTAGGGTAGACATAGGGTTTGTTTGTTAGTGTTTATCATTAATCTCCGAAGGGAAACAGGCACAACAAGCGGGATAAACTTCCTTGAAAAGGATAAGATACCCGAGGGGGGTACGAATATGAATAATCTCCCACGCCTCTTCCAAGGATACAGCTGCAGGATGAATCGTGGATAGCTCTAATGGTAGACATTTTCGAGGCGATTGACTTAAGGCCCAACTTTATCTTGGCTTCTGAAAGCAAAGAGCCCAAGGAAGTGGACAGCTTTGCTGAGTAGGTGTCTGCTTTTTCTGGATAGATATTTGCTCGTGGCTCTTGTTTCTTAGAATGTTCGCTCAGCGGAAAACCTCCAGTAGAGTGCACTGGGCCGCTTTTAAGGGGAAGAAGCGCCACGCGCAACCAGGGGGGTGCGCGCTGTGTTTGGCTGAGCCGCTAATTGTGAGGCGGCTGGTTGACTCGGGGAGCGGCATGTGGCGGGGGCGCTGCTCTTGTCGACGCTGCAGCCCCATTGCTTCAAACGAGCGCTGGGCCCTTTGGTTTGCTTGTTCTCTGCGTGCGTCGGTCGCACTCACTCCGGCCGCGTGTCGTTCTTGCGCCGAGATGTTAGCCTGCGGAACCCTTGCTTCAGCGTGCAGGGGCGTGCCTGCGTGGCATGTGGCTGCGTGAGCGCTTGGTAGATTTGATCTGACAGAGGGGAAGGGCGGGCTTGCCTCGTTGGTTGATGGCGGTCAGCATGTCCAGGGCGAGTGGTGTTGTCGATCAGGAGGTCACTCACACCTGCGGCGCCTCCCGCTTGTCCCGGGCATGGCGCGGCGGGTGCCGCCGTCGAGTCTCAGGCCTTTCCTTGTTCGACGACTGAGTGATAAAAGTCTCATGTCCGGCGTGAGACTCAGAAGCCTCGGATTTCTGAGACTCACTTGGCAAAGTCTTGAGGCTCGCGGCGAACATGAGGGGCCCTTCCGTTCCTCGGACTGGCCATGCGGGGTCGACTGGGTCGCTCTGTGGACCGGGAAAGCCCTTCATGTTCGCCGCGGGCCTCAGGATTTTGGCGTGTCTCAAAAGTTGAATCTTGGAACACCTGGAATCTCTGAGGTTCGGCGCGGGCCTCAGCCTTTTCTCAGTCCTTGGACTGCTAAGCGTCTGAGACCTGCGCGGGCGGAGGGGCTGCTTCCAGAACCTGTCACAGCAGAGCGGCTTACGCTGTGACAATGACGGCGCGCTACCCGGGACCGGGTGGGGGGGTGCGTCTATGATCCGCGCGCCCTCGGTCGTGGGGCCTTTGTCGTCCTTTTTGCGTGGGTGCTGCCGTCCGTGGTTTTCAGGGCGCCGCGCTTGCGCAGATGCGTATTCGGAGACGTCACGTTGGAGCCAGGTGTTCTTGTGTGATAGTGATTGCATTGGTATCTTGGAGCGCCCCCGCCCCTTGCTGGGGTGAGTGGCTCGCGGGGACGGTGAGTCCTTTTCTTGTTCGGGTGGGTGGGCTGGAAAATTTCCGCTGAAATAGACAAGATTTCTAAAAATCATTTTAATTTTTTGAAGCCATCGATCATCTTTATCTACTTTTATAAATACGCCCGCTTGGACTGAAGGCAGTTCTAATTATGGGAGCGACAGCGGCTGCCGAAGATGGCATGTCAAACGAAAGGAGACAAATACAAAGACAACTGTGCGTCTTCGATGTGCTCTTGAGCAGCAAAAGCGCAGCGCCGGGAAAGGCGTTTAAGGCTTTTCTGTGTCTGTACAACTAAAAAAGCCTACCTAGAATACACTCAAATTTTTTTAGGGAAGAAGATAAAGTGACTTCTAGGACCATGCGTCTGTCTGTAGAATGCTTTGCTTTTACTACTTCTCAGTAGATCGGTGGCTTAGTAGGGCGAAGTCTAAAATAATGTCTCCTAGGGAGGTGATTGGAAATCTTCTGCGGGAGCGGCTGATAAATGAAATCACGGGAGTGGGAGTCGGGACTGGCTTGGGTGCGATCTCCCTGCATGAGCAGCTGCTCGATGTTGCGCGAAAGTTGTTACCGTATATTAAGGCGGAATTTCGGATCATCATAATGTATTGAGACTTTCTCGAGTAGTAATATTTATGTATCGCGTGAAAATAAAAATATGAGTTCTACCTACGAATCTACGAGGTGATGACTGGTGAAGGGTTGAGGTATTTTTTTACATGCAGGAGGTCTTCCCTTTTATTTTTGAGCTCCAAGAACTCTAACTTAAGCTTCGCCTTCAGAGACTTGTGGGCTGATCATGATGGAAGCTTGGGCTTGATGCAATTGGCTTGGGAACGGCCGAAAGATTCTTTTTTTATTAGCCAGAACAGCGAGGGTGGTCGGAAAATGACAAGTTGGATTCGAAAGCTAGAGAACGATGAAGCACAGGTGTCATCCGATGGTCATGGTCTGAAGGTGCTTGCACAGCTGAAAGTATTGGTATGGGAACACTATACTAGTGAGAGTGTATATATTCAACTACTTCTTAAAAGGTAAGAAAGGGCCGTTTTCGATGCACTGCCACCTGTGGAGTGAGGGGAGAGCATTTTTTAGAACAGGGCTACTAAAGTTGTCACACATTTTCTGTTTCATAATTGGCAGACAAGACACGACACAGGCTTGCGCTTTGGGGCCTGCTTCCTTCAGCAAAATCGTTCGACCTGCTTCCTTCATCAGACAAGAATGTGCTGTCCCGGGACAGGTCTCTCTCCTCTATCATTTTGGGTTCTCTGGCAGATGACCTGAAAAACAAACACCCGAAACCGAATATGTCGCCAAAGAGCCCGGACTTACTCGGGAACCGAGTACCCACATTATTATATACTAACGAATAGATATACTATTCTTGGACTTGTTCCACCCCTCTACATCTAGAAGTGTAGCCAATCTTGTAACTCTGTGCACAAGTTTGGTCGTCGTCCTCGTCATTTAGATTACCTCTACCCGGTTCCTTTTTTTACAGGCCTTCGGGATGGTTTCTTTAAGGCCTACCAGATGACATTCTCCACTATTGTCCTTCGCTAGGTATTTAGAAGTAGTGGCAGCATCAAGATGAAGAAGGTAGAGAGCTTTCAGGATCATCCTTGCAGCTCTGTACCTTCTTCATCTCGGAGGATGTTCTGGAGAGTGTAGAAACCTATTTTGGCAGCTTCTAACTCGGACTCTCAGTGAAATTGAGGAGGCCACTCTGTGCGAGGAGTTTCTAGTGGCAGTTCTGGGGGTTTGGGCAGACGAAAAAAAGAAAGCGATACTATGAAGTTGAAGACAACCGACAGTCACTACATCCCCAACATCATACGAATTGGTTTCCTTTTCAAGGGGAAAAGGAAGGAGTCCCCAAGGATATGACAATAAGTACTCAAGGAAGATGGTGCGACGGCGACGAAGTAGTTCTAATTAGAAACACGGAAGAGGCAGACTCAGTCGGAAACGCATACTTTCCCACGAGCCAAGGACTCGCGAGCCGCGTTCTTTCGCTCCCTGATCCAAATCTGGAAGGGAGACAGGCAAAGATCAACGACGCAAAAGCAAGACAGCAGGTAACGCTATTTAAGTACATTTAAAGGCGACTTCTGCATGTAGAGCTAGAGGACTCAACAAGCATTCGAGAAAGACTTGATACTTGTTCAGTTCTCGTCTCCGCTTTATAGCAGTACTTGTTATGCTACGCAATTAATAACTTTCTACTTTCTGTTGGTCAAGGTCATAATCCTAGAAGAATCACAAAGATCACAAGGATAAAGATCAACGAAATGACCAGGATCGCCAGGCAAAAGGTTACCGGAGCACCATCCAAACGCCCGACGGGTTTACCGTCGCGCGGGTGTCTCTGGCTTCTCCTCTCTCTCCCGTGTGTGGCTCAAGCCTCCCAATACAGTCAAGGACAGAACAACACCGGAATGATCTCAAAGATAACCTACAGACCTAAATGCATATAGTTCCAAAATCAGTGATCTACAGGCAAAGGACCTTCAACGGATTCAGATAGCAGGAATGATGAATGTTTCATAGCTGTAGTCAGGTCCATAACGTCTTGTCAGTTCTGCTCAAAGATGAGAATCAATGTAGGATGATCGTATGAGTCAATGATCATAGCATAAGGTTTCCATATGAAGCATATGGAAGCTTCCCCATGCAGCATGATATCCCAATGATGAAGCTGAGACTTCTTCCTTGCAACCCCAATGAACATCCACAGGGATCAAAGCAGCCAGAGATCATTAGTCTCAGGCTGTGAGTGCAAATTGTGCAAACTTTATCACTCTCAAGCGTTTCTCACCGAGAAACTAGACGCGACTTAACAGTCTGTGTTCGAATGGTCCAACACTTTCCAATGCCAAACAAGAACAAAACGCAGGTTGCTAGTTTTCTTTTTCGATCTATAATAGAAGAACAAGAAAAGAGTCTCCTACTCCTCGTGATTTCGTTCGTCCAAAAATCATCTCCATGAACCCCACACATTTAGGCTGAATGGAAGAAGGTGTCTCTTGCTCAGGCTAGCCAGGGGGTATGTCGAACGCGGAGAAGCGACGGACAACATCTTGATCCGCATAAGGATCCTGATATGTATCTTATGGCTTTTAAAAGTAACTAGTTCATCCACTTATATCTTCACAAACGAGTACGTGTCTCGTTAGTATCTATCCTCAAATTCCTTTTTGGAAGAAGCAAAAAACTATGAGCATAGAGGCTGCACGGGAGTAGTAGTATACCGAACTCACCTTAGTTCGTGGGCGCAAATAGTCTCACTTGAAGAGCAGTCTCCAGTTTTGAACGAGGTTCCGGCTGAGTCTAGCTTCGTGGCCGGGTTGTAGGTTAACCGCGCGACCAGCGGGTAGGTTACGCGAGGGCTTCAGCATCAGCTACCCAGTTGGGGCGGGTTGTCTCGCTCTCGCGGCTGGTAGCCAGGAACTAGACAGGGATATGCCTAGCGGCTCGCTAGCGTGTGGGCTTTGCTTGGGCAGTTTCTCGAATGTTCTTGCGTAAGGTGGGACCAACTCAGGGCAGGCGTGCACTACCTAGGGGAGAAATTTAGCGGGGCAGAAAACGGCAGAGGGTCTCGTCGGTGGGGTCGAGAGACTGAGCATTTTCTCTGCTACGAATATAGTGACGCGGTCACTTTGGTATGACTGAGGTCAGTCGAAGGCGTTCTAGCTTTTATTTCTAGCTACTGAGGCTATTCGGCCAGTGAGGAGCTTGGAGGTCAAGTATGTGCAATTTATCAGCTGGGTTATTACTACTGTGTCCCCTTTACCTCTCTCCCCTTTCTCTCTCTCCTTGACCGTCCTGGCGGTAGTTATCTCACGATTAAGACGTCTGTTTGCTAGTACTGTGTTGATATCAAAAATTTGATACTGTCAGTTCCTCGCTCTAACTTAGAATACTCGTGGCAAAAAGTTCAGCTGGAGTGGCTGTTTATGATGTGCTCGTCCATGCTAGGTTGTGGACGGTATGAGTGTACACTTCTTTCACTGCCCGAGAGGAGACCCCGCCGGCCCGAACAACAACACGCTCAAGAGGCGAGACAAGCAAGTCTGGTCTCGTCCTCCAAGCAGAAAAAAGCCGGCTCGCCAAGTGACTCCATAGGTAGAGCCCCAAGTAGAAGAAGGCATGGAAGTGGCCCACTCACGGATATGACGACTGCCCCTAATTCATCTCCTCTATAGGGATCCCTCAAACATTCATATAATGCGCCCCGATACAAGGGAGACACTGACGCATATGCTTGAGGGATTTCCACAGGGATGAATAGAGGAGAGCTCTAAGTAGGAATCCAGCCCCTCAGCTCCACCTCGCAAATCCACGCCTCCGAAGGCCACAAGTTTTGTCGAGGAGACGCTGCAGGATCCGGGTAGGAAACTCTCGGAGGATACAAATGCGACATTCTCGGAGAATACAAATGCGACATTCTCGGAGAATACAAATACGACATTCTCGGAGAATAGAAATACGACATTCTCGGAGGATACAAATACGACAGTGACAGACCTCCTTGACGAAAGCAAAAATACGGGAGCTGGTACGAATATTTGGAATTGTAGTTGTAGTTGTACGATGGGTCACTCCAGAGCTTATGCTTATGTAGAATGAAAATAAAATAAAAATCTTAATCTTCATCTTTCTTAGATCATGGTGTGTTTGAATCAATCAAATCATGTTGACAGGTGCCTAGATGATAGGTGACCATCCTTACATTTGATATTATCTGACTTGAACAACCACCACTCCAGATAACGACGCAACAACTGCTGTTAAGGCCCTACTCCATGTTAGTAGAGGAGGTCTGTCTCAGGTCTGTCTCTAGCCGTGATATGTCTTTCAATCAGAACCGTCTGCATGCGCATCCCAAGAATAGGTTAGATAAAAGGGAGATGAGATAGAAAGGCCTATTCACCTTGCGGGATCTCTAGTACAGTGATCAACTGGGGTAGACTCTAACGCAGACGCGGATCTGGGTAGCGACAATGCTGTAGACGCGGAAACGGGTAGCCACAATGCTGTAGACGCGGAAATGGGTAACCACGCTACTGTGCACGCCGATCCGGGTACCCACAATGCTGTAGACGCGGAAACGGGTAACCACGCTACTGTGGACGCCGAAATGGGTAGCCACAATGCTGTAGACGCGGAAACGGGTAGCCACAATGCTGTAGACGCGGAAATGGGTAGCCACGCTACGGCTACAGTAGACGCTGCAGTAGTTACGGGCAAGCTCCAACGGGTGTCGTCCCTATTCCTGTCTTTACTATTCATAAGTTAAAGCTACCTTGCCTTTCTATTTCTTAGTGCCTCTAATGCAGACGATGAAGTGCCTTTCGATAGCATCTACGCCACTATACTGGGCGAGCAATGGCACACTGCTTCTCCCGTCTCTCCGACCGACGTAATATACGACTTCATTTTATGTCTTGGTTCTCCATCACGTCTGGTCTTGGTGTTCTGATGTAGTTCTGTCTTTTCGACCTTAAGGCCTCCTACGAACTCTACAACTTCAACACGCTTTTACTCGTTTTTTTAGAAAACGGAAGCTAACTACCGGTTTTCAGCTACTAACTACATGTTTCGTGGTCCAGAGGGACAGGGAGATCATGATCGGGTTCATCGTAAAAATCATTATATGTGATTCATCCATTAACCCTTCTGGCACTTATCTCACGCTTGTTAGCGACATGTACTACTATGTTGATGATGTGACAAAGTAAAGCTAGCCGCGTTAGCGTATAATTATCCACGATAGGCTCGTCTTCAGTGTACAGAGTACAGAGCCGCCTAGCCATCATAACCATTGTAGTATTTCTGATTGTCAAGAACTCTAAGAAATGCGACATACAAGGACGACCCCGTCGCTACGATCTGGGAGAACGTATCCGAACAGCCTACGCAGGCTCTGCTAATCGTCATTGTTAAGGAAATTAACATCAGTCCAATATTAGACAATTTCTTTCCTCAACAATGCTTCGCGTTGAGGTGGTTGTACTGCGCGGATCTGTCGATGAGCCTGCTCTTCAGAAGTCGGTCGTGGTGATTCAGGTAGGTAGACACAGGGAAGGCGCCGAGGAGGACCCCATTGTGCATTTTGATAGCTCGGCCAGAGTAAGTTTCTAGGGTAGGCTCTGTTAATTTCGGAGTGGGACGTTTATTGCGATAATACGAGTAACATCAGTCCAATAGTAGACACTTTCTTTCCTCAACAGCTGCATTTTCCATTTTTGCCTCTAATATTAGACACTGTCTTTGCTCAACAGTATCTTCCAATGAAAATGGTATGATAACATCGTAGCTTGGAGGGTATTTTTTATGGCCCTGACCACTTTCTTTGTTCATGCTAGATCTATCCTCTAATAACCTTGTCTGGTTCTGTGCGATGGCCCTCCATCGCTTACGTGGCAGAGAAGATGTCAACACAGAGCGGAGCAAAGAGTTGAAGGCCGATGACCACAACAACGAGCGCGGCTCAAAAAGAAACAACAAACAGATCAAGATCATACAACTCCCGCAAAAAAAATACACTTCTTATGGTCCGACTTGTCACTATCGATCTTCTGACACTGACTCATTTTTCTGCATTCTTTTATTTTCGTTCAATTATTTGAAAAAATTTTTTACTCTCTAAAAAGACACGAACGCTGCAGACGAGGAAGATTATAGTGATGAGGAGGATGCGGCATTGCTGACTGCTCAATCTGCTGAGATCCGCGGTTGCTCTACTGAGACCCCGGTTGAAGACCAGATGATGCCCTATCAAGGTGTGACAAATCCTGAAAATATAATTTCAGAAATGTTTCAAAAGAACATGTAGCTGGATGTTCGTCTTCATAAACTATAATGCAATCGTTATGTTTTGGCTTTTTCTTCTAGTCGCCAGGAGCGACTAAGTATGTTCTCTCTTTTTTTTTCTTTCTGCAGCTTGCTATTGTTCAGAATATTCATGATTCATCCTTAAAAAAGAGAAAAAGCAGAAGCACTACGCAAGAACAAGAAGACTACAGCAATATGAAGTCTTTGCTTGATGACTAGAGCAGCTACTACTTTACTTACTTGATGAGCAGGTGGGTGAAGTTGAAGACACATGACGAAAACGGTGAATGAGTACGTTTCCACGGCTTTTGATGCTAAAAAAGTGAACACTCCCGTCCAAAACGGTCAACATGCGTACTCTTTCTATTTCAACATTCTCACTTCAAATATGACATCTCATCCACTCGCTCCCACTCCCCACTCCCCTCCCGAGGAAAAGACTGATGAAAAACACGTTGTCCCCATCATGCCTTTGTCCCCTTGAATTTTTGTACCCTAAAATTGAAATTGACGGGTCCGCCGATGACGATGCCGCTCTGTTCTTCATCTTCTGTCGTGTCCCACCTTCTCTTTCGGAGGTCCATGGGATAATGACCCGTTCTTCTGAATCCCTGTGTCTAAGTCTATGCTGCTGACCTTCTTGATCCGTGTAGTCTTCAGGAACCTCCGTGTAGTCTTCAAGAACTATAGATATAATAAAGTGGTAATCGTACTAATCGAAAGTAACTAGAAGTAAGGGTGTGCGGCTGTTTTGACGAGTCATCAAGTATGTGCATTTGACAGGAGGAATGATCATGATAAATTGCCGAGGATAGGAATAATGATCACTTGTTCTTTATGTTTGTCTTTGTGCTGTGTCTAGAACTTTCATCACTTTTTCCAGAACGAATAGGTGCACAGACTCGGCGTTCCTCCAATATTTTCGCGATAAATAACAGAAGTCCTTGTTTCCTTGAGTGAATATCTTTGGCACTTCCTAGATCTACAGTTGTCGTGAAAAAAAAACATGAGCGGTCTTGCTGGCTTACTCTCTGCGACAGGAGGTGATCCGTCGAGTGGGGCATCCCTTCTATCCATGGCGGAACAAAGCACTAAGAGTAGTTTATGAGCATCATACTTGTATCGATGAAGTGACTCTTACCTCGTGCAGCTCTTACTTAGCTCCAAGAACCACAGAAAAAAGATAGTTGTGATAGATTTAATATTCAACAAAGTTGCTTTTGATCCGCTGTTTGTGAACACGGAATCTACGTATACGGCTTGAAAAGTTGCCTCACTTTGTGAATCCTTAAAATGTGGGCTTGACCCGTTTCATTTGAAACATGTAAAACGTACGAAAGTGCCTGCGTGTTGCTCTTGTTCAATCATGTGACTGATCTCAGTGGCTCACCTTCTTGCGCTTGTTCTTCTGTTGTCCTGATCTTGAGCAGGATCGCCCTGCTAGTTTTCGTGTTCTTCATTATTTTCATCACCATGAGACTCATAGAATTTGGGCGGCATAATGCCGAGAAAATTCATGGCCTTCATATTCGTGAAATTTAAAACCTCAAGAATTTTGGGGACCTTCTGACCTTATATATGTTCCAGGGCTCAGGGCGGGAGGCCCCCCCCCCCCGATCTAACTTTTTGAAGGGGGGGGGCCGTAGGGTCGAGAAAGGGACCCCCTGGGCTTTACGGGATTTCTAGTCGTGTAGGCAATTTGGTTTCGCTTCTTTACCATTTTGAAAATGTAAACAGAGGAGGCGCCAGCCTGTGTTA